GAAATCTATTGTTTGATTAAAAATTTATAGACTAAATTTAGAGTCTTACCAGACTATGAATCTATATATTAGACTATTGTGTCTTAAGAGATTTGGAATAAAAATAATAAAATTAAGTTGTAAAATGACACATTTGCCCCCAAAATATTTGATACAATGAGAAAATCACTTTCAGACATTTAGTCTCATGAGAAAACACACATGAGATTCACATTATTTTCAACTAAATAATTCACGAACTATATATGTAAGGGTTAATAATCCGATATATTACAATCCCACCTTATCTAATACGTCCAAACAAAATAACCTAAGGAAAAAAAAAAAAAAAAAAAAAAAAATCGTTAGTGAGGTGAGGTGTAGAGTGAGCACTGTGGAAGCATGGCACAGCCCCGACGAGGACGACGCACAGCCGAACCAACGACGGCACTATTTTGGCGAGGTTGGAAAATGATGACGTTACAGAGGAGTCGGCATCGGTGTGTCGGTGACGTCGGTGGTCTTCAGTAGTTGCAAAGCAAGCTGGCCACAATTTGGCCACGATTTGGTTTGGTAGCTGAGGAACGCTAAAGAAGAAAGCTGGGTGCCGAAATGGGTCCTTGAATTTTGATCTCCTGTACACAAAATAAAAAAATTCGTGGTCTCAGCTTTCTTGATTTAGAGAAGCGGCAGCGGTGGTCTTCAAATGGAGTGCAAAGCAAGCTTGGGTCTTGTCCCAGTGTAGAGAGAAGAGGAGGGTAACGAAGAAGACCCAGATGTAGTAGTAGAAATGGTTATGCCAGAGCTTGATGGAGAGGATCAGAAAAGTTTTGAGGCTGTTCAGCCGACATGGCTATGTCAAAAATGTGAGAGGTATTGATTAGGGTTGTCATCCCTTTCTTTAAATAGAAAAAAATGGGGTGATGCCAGAAATATTCATTCATATTCTGAATATATATATATATAAAAGAGCCTTTCGCTTTTTTTTTTTTTTTTTTCAAAAAAAAAAAATAAAGGTGCATGAGCCTCACCTTTTTGTACTATAGAGTGAAAAGTGGGCTAGCTGTATTCTAAAAGAAAAAGTGTGGCTTATCTTGTCAAGAATAAAAAAATGATTGATGATAGGTGTTTTATTTTGTCCTGGAGTGGAGAAATATTTTCTTAGATGTTAAAAAAAAAAAAAAATTTAGGGGCAAAAAAAAAAAAAAAAAAAAAAAAAAAAAAAAAAAAGTCAAAAAAAAAAAAAAAGTTTTGAGAAATAAAATAAATATAAATTTGGTTTAGTGTAAAGCTATAGGGTTTGCAAGAATTGGTTTTGCTTCGATTAACACTAAATTTAGAAACTAACCAATCATGATCAGTTCCAAAATTTTGAATATGGGACCGAACCAATCCTCTAATAGAATGAAACGAATCCAATGTCATATAGCTTGGGTGGTGACTAAGCTAGTTACCGAAGCTCATTGATGGTCGCTTGTGACTGGTCAGATTTCACTGATGGTTGGTTGGTTGGTTGATTGGTCGACGATTGGTGGTGGGTGGAGTCATAGTTCACTGATGGTTGGTTGGTCAGCTGATTGGCTGACGATTGGCAGTGGGTGGTGGTGGATGGGGAGGAGAGAGTGACAAATTATTTTGAAAAGGAGTAAAAACATTTCTTTTCAAAAAATTTAAATTAATTTCACTTTTTTTAAAACAAAAATAATATACGTGACAAATTTTCATTTCTAGTTTTAAAAAAAATGAAAATAAAAAATAGGCATGTTTGGAAACATTATGTATATAATTTTTCTATTTATATTTATAAAATATTTAAAATTTGTAAATAAAAACTCGTATGGTGTCTATTTTTATTTAAAAATTTTGTAAATAATTTACAAAATTTAATAAATTCTTATAACTATGAAAAAGTTAGTTTCATTTGTTTAAAAACAAAGTTTTCATTGTTTCCTCCTTTACCCACCACCCACCGATCTTCAACACTATTGACTACCGTTTCTAACCAATTTCGGGGTTTTTCTCATCCTCGGAGAAGTCTCCTCCTCGGAGAGGTCACCTCCTCGGACAAGGTGGTTAGAGAGAATATCTCCCATGTGCCTTGCACATGGGCTCCATCCTACATCATGAGGTGCCTATAAATAGCACCCACCCATAGCTTTACAAGGGATGGATTTTGGAGATTTTTAACTCTTGGGAAAGAACTAATTTCCCTTCTCCATTATCAACCTTGAGAGTGAAAGTGGGAGATCCATGGGAGAGCCTTGCCATTATTCTATTCTCTAGCCATTTTGCCTTCTTCTTCACCCAATCTCTTATCTCCATCATCTCCTTTGTTGTTGTGTTCCTAAGTTGAGATTATTGAAGAATCTAAGCCTCTCATCATATTCTAGAGAATTCGAAATTGTTCTTCAAGAATTTTTGAAGATTTTCGAATTTTCCAACTCTTTTCTTGAACCCCTACGAACTCTATGAACACCAAACAACTTTTAGCAATTGTGATAAACCATTTTCTTCTTTTATTTTATTATTGTTTCAATAATTTGACATGATACTTGTTAGTGGATAGCAAATCCATGCGTGTATCTAATCTAATAATTGATAAATGATTTATTTGGAATTATGCATCATCATCATGGGTTTGGCTAGAGTGACAAATGGGAATTAATCGGACACCCAAAAACACAAGGGGACAAAGGACAACCTTATTTGACAATTTTGCTCTCATATTACAATAGTGTCGTGTAGCGTTTTTGAAAAAAAATAATAATAAAATAAAAAATCGTGTAATAATAATATATGAAGCACATTCAGAGTTCAGACAAAATTGGAGTGTCGCTGTATGTATAAAAGTACAGGATCAAATTATTTTTTAGAGGTTTGCAAGTTGGATCCGAATTAAGAGTCATTTATTTATTTTTTATTTGGTTTTCTTGTGGGTAGGGGTTAAACCTGCAATCCGCCCACAACTCGTGTCATATTCCAAACTACATCTGCTTACATTGTATTTGTGAAACTGCCTATTTGTATGCTAGTCGGGTTCGGATTACGTAGATTAAACAGTTCCGAAAACTCTATACCCGCCCCTAGTCGGAATGGCCTTTGGGCCCCGTTTGTTTCTAGAGATGGAATAGAGGGGATTGATAGTGAGGGGATTAATAGTGAGGGGATTGTTAGTGAGGGTCGTTTGTTTTCAGAGATAGAATGGAGGGGATTGATAGTGAGGGGATTAATAGTGAGGGGATTGTTAGTGAGGGTCGTTTGTTTTCAGAGATAGAATGGAGGGGATTGATAGTGAGGGGATTAATAATGAGGGGATTGTTAGTGAGGGGATTGATAGTGAGGGGATTAATAATGAGGGGATTGTTAGTGAGGGGATTGATAGTGAGGGGATTAATAATGAGGGGATTGTTAGTGAGGGGATTGATAGTGAGGGGATTAATAATGAGGGGATTGTTAGTGAGGGGATTGATAGTGAGGGGATTAATAATGAGGGGATTGTTAGTGAGGGGATTGATAGTGAGGGGATTAATAATGAGGGGATTGTTAGTGAGGGGATTGATAGTGAGGGGATTAATAATGAGGGGATTGTTAGTGAGGGGATTGATAGTGAGGGGATTAATAATGAGGGGATTGTTAGTGAGGGGATTGATAGTGAGGGGATTAATAATGAGGGGATTGTTAGTGAGGGGATTGATAGTGAGGGGATTAATAATGAGGGGATTGTTAGTGAGGGGATTGATAGTGAGGGGATTAATAATGAGGGGATTGTTAGTGAGGGGATTGATAGTGAGGGGATTAATAATGAGGGGATTGTTAGTGAGGGGATTGATAGTGAGGGGATTAATAATGAGGGGATTGTTAGTGAGGGGATTGATAGTGAGGGGATTAATAATGAGGGGATTGTTAGTGAGGGGATTGATAGTGAGGGGATTAATAATGAGGGGATTGTTAGTGAGGGGATTGATAGTGAGGGGATTAATAATGAGGGGATTGTTAGTGAGGGGATTGATAGTGAGGGGATTAATAATGAGGGGATTGTTAGTGAGGGGATTGATAGTGAGGGGATTAATAATGAGGGGATTGTTAGTGAGGGGATTGATAGTGAGGGGATTAATAATGAGGGGATTGTTAGTGAGGGGATTGATAGTGAGGGGATTAATAATGAGGGGATTGTTAGTGAGGGGATTGATAGTGAGGGGATTAATAATGAGGGGATTGTTAGTGAGGGGATTGATAGTGAGGGGATTAATAATGAGGGGATTGTTAGTGAGGGGATTGATAGTGAGGGGATTAATAATGAGGGGATTGTTAGTGAGGGGATTGATAGTGAGGGGATTAATAATGAGGGGATTGTTAGTGAGGGGATTGATAGTGAGGGGATTAATAATGAGGGGATTGTTAGTGAGGGGATTGATAGTGAGGGGATTAATAATGAGGGGATTGTTAGTGAGGGGATTGATAGTGAGGGGATTAATAATGAGGGGATTGTTAGTGAGGGGATTGATAGTGAGGGGATTAATAATGAGGGGATTGTTAGTGAGGGGATTGATAGTGAGGGGATTAATAATGAGGGGATTGTTAGTGAGGGGATTGATAGTGAGGGGATTAATAATGAGGGGATTGTTTCTTCAAAAACAATAAAAAATGATTTTTTTTTATCTCATATTATATCTTGCCCTAACCAAATATATTAAAAGTAATCTCATAAATCCATCCCATATTTTAAATATTACATACTCTCCTCAACCCCTTATATCCAGTCCAGACAACCGGGCGAGACTAAGCTCGACTAGTAAAAAATCAATCCAAGCATGAGCCAATGTAGAGCTCAACTGGACTCAGCTCATTTGCATCCCTATCCTTAGTCGAAGGATCATCATACCCCTATGCTTCAGCAGAGCTAAGGACACATCTCTCCAGTTTTGAGTATGTTAATACAAAAGTAAATTTGTATAGGAAAAACAGGAAGGAGACAAAATACCAACTACGTAAGCATACAATCTTTAGCAAAACGCAAAAACTAAAACCAGAATTAATTATTGTTGATATTGATTTTCTTTTTTTCTTTTTACTAAAAAGAAACACATTGAAATGCAAAAACAGAAAATGTGTTTAAACTAAGCCTGATGGTCGTTGACATCTTCACATTGCCCTATAAGGAGAAGGAAAGGGGAACAAAGAGAGCAAAAGAATTACAAAAAAGACAATGGAATGAAACAAATAAGGAATAGAAGTAAAAGTAACTAACAAGTTTGGAGATTAGCTTGATCATCATTGGTCACCCAAATCAATTATTTTCTTCATAGATTGCAGTACTATATCCTCCTCTGTGAAATCTGATTGACATTGATCTATTGAGTGCAACAACTGGTGAGACCAGCTGTTTTCTCCTTTCCATCTTCCTGCAGATTCATGCAAAATACGAGTACGATGTCAACAACAATGGTAAACATAGAGTACATCAATAGTAGACGATAGCATCACAACCAACTGCAGGTGCCACATACGCCTGTCCATAGATCACATCCCGATTATATTCAAATATATACAAACTCGTTAGGTTTGAAACATTGTCCCTGTTGAAAGTAACGAGCATATGCTTGTAGCTATGTTTGGCAACAATGAATTGCACGTTATCTCATTCTTACACGATTAGATTTGGATTATTTTCATATTTGATCTAATAGTAATTGGATCTACAGCGTTTGGATACATAATAGACTCTGGACGGCTAAGTTCCTATATTTTAGTAAAACAAACAAATTAAAATCAAGTCCCATGACTGGCATAGTGCTGTCTCATAGGGTTAATGAGAAAAGTTAGATACAAACAAGCATGAATAAATAACAGAAAACTGCCAAGGGCATACCAAGTTAGATCTTGTCGAAATCATCATCAAAACCCCCACCATCTCCATCATCTGAAAGACCAAATAGACTATCAATATACTGAACTTACAAGCAAGTAAAAATCCTTGGAAAATTGTAATTTGCAGCATGTCTAGTCACTCAAAATATATATCAATAATAACACAAATAAATTAATAGTAAACAAAAATCCCAACTGCATACATAAACAAATGGGGTGTATACCAGAACATGCGCAATCAGTAAAAAGGGTGACCTATAAATCAGGAAAACCACCAGAGAGGACAGTCATTATAAAGGTTGGAACTTGAAACCCAACAATTAATAATGTACAATTTTATAGTTGATTGTTGCATTACTTTGATTAGGACCATTAGAAGTACAGAAACTGGTTAGATGCATGCTAAAATTGTTTACACATGCAATGCAACCACTATGGTGGCTCAGTTAAAGCACAGAGAGTTCATACATCAAACCCATCGAATATGCAAATATGTAATATAAGGGAAAATGTAGTAGTATAAAATATTTCCCTCCTTTTGTGGGCAAAAGACGTAGCTTCTCTGTCGAAAATAAGCCACACAAGCCAACAAGTCAAGAAATGACAATGCTATACCTGGGCCATCATCACTGTCACCGAGGTCTCCAAGAAGGAATACATCCAAGTCCTGCTCAGAAGTTGGTGAGGTTTTACTTTTCTGGTTTATACCCCCCCTTTCTGTTTCAGAGGTTGTTCCACTTGTTGAAGCTTCCTTCTTTTTATCATCTTTCGCTTGTTCAGCAGCTTTTAGCCTAGCCTCTTCCATGTACCGCCTTTCATACCTAAAACCATCAGGTCAAAAAAATTACAATTAAAAGTACTGAACCATTAAACCATTACACCCACAAACACATGCACCCACACACAGATCAAAAGATGAAGAGATCAATGGTTATTTCAATCATTCAATTCCCAAGATTGGTGATATTCATAAGTTTTAAAACACACACTAGACTCAACATGCAAAAGCCTTGTGGCAATTCTCAAACCCACACTCACAACTATAGAAAGGGGCGGATAGAATATCAATCTCCATGTCTCAATTTGAAGATTGAGAGCAGGAGTGAGCATAGCGTGAGCCGAGTGTTGGTAATTTTGAACATAAATGATAGTAAACCATCTAGACAGTTTTACACCGGTGTATCTCAATAACAGACAAAACCAAAAAAAAAATGCTTTTGAAGAACAGGACAAATAAAATGCCATTGTCTATGGTCAAATATATCCATGTTGAAAATTGAAACTTAAAAAGGTGTAACATTCTCTAATTCCATACAAAATAGAAGCTCAATACTTCCTTAAATAATAAAATTTCACTGTGTATGGATCTAAATGCAGAAAAATATTCTGTAGATAAGTTAAAAGATTAATATAGGTTGTGAATACAACGAAAAAGCCCTCACTTAGTAACACAAAATAAAAGCAATCCTGCAGGACAAGTTACTCACGGTGCCACATGACTATTAACCAGAATAAAATATATCCTCCAGAACTTCCTTTCTTTCATCACACGTGGGCATAACTCGTATCTTAATTTTGAAGTTTCCTGCAAAAGAATATTCATAAATATAGTTAGATTGCACAAATGCAGTACAAGCTTGATGCTCATACAGGCCAATTGATAATGCACGGAAGATTACAATTTATAACATATAAATTTAATCAACAACCAGCTTCTCTAAAAACTGAGGCTATTTGAGAGTTTTTTTTAATCATCAACACAACCTCTTTATTAAAGCCAAACACCCCTCCATGAGTGGGCAAACACATGTATGTATGCTATCTATTAGGTAACCATAAAATACATGCACAAGATGTGCGTTTTGATGCCATGTTAAAAACCAATTGCCCAAGTCCTTTAAAAGGGAGTTCTATTTCCACGTGCCCAATTCATTCAACCCACATCTTTTCTCAGGGCGCACAACTAAAAATTTAAATATTTTATTTTTTGCTCAGTACACATTTATATAAAAAATATCGTTTACCTTCAACCTCAAAAAACCCTAACCCTAATCATAGTACATAGTTTCCTTTACTTCCAAAAGTATTATCATTTCGTCTTTGGTTAGGTCAAATCCAAATGTGTACCCCACCATCAGCAATCAACCCAGCCCCTTCCCCACTGTCCATGACCACCCCAGCCCCTTCCCTGAACCTTCACAAATTCTATCCTCATTGGAAGTTCAAATTTTCAATCAAATAGTTTTTGCCATATGACCAATCTATCTTAGAACTTAAAAATATTCCAAAATCTAAAATCCAAATATGTAAACAATCAAGATGACATATATATGCTCTAACCTCTGTTGAAGCTAACTTCTTGAAATGAACCAAAACCCATAAGCAAAAAGGTTGGCAAAAGAAAATTAAAGCCTTAGATACCTTCCAAAACTAGTTTTATATGGTATACCTTGGGTCCAAGCGTCCAACCAACAAGATAATAATAGATTTTTTGGGGTAAGACAAGGTCAAACGAAAATCAAATAGGGGGTTTAGTCGTTCAATTTTCACAATTGCTTCCAAAAAAAAAAAAAACATCAATCATCACTATTGTTTTTTTCTACCTATTCAGTCTTACCATTGGCTTCTTCTTTCAAGGCAAATTGTTTCGGATTCTACTGTTGAGAGATTTTAGAGTCAATTGATGGGTTCGAAGAGGCATTACTTATCTAAAGGAGGTAGCAAGACATTGATTAAGAGTATCGTACCAAGTTTACCTGCCAACTTTACGTCATTAATTACTATTCTAATTTCAGTGGCAATGAAGTTGAAAAGGTTGCAACATGATTTGCTTCGGGGTGGGGTTAGGTTAGGAACGAGTTCAAGTATCATTCGGTTGATTGGGATAATGTGTTTACTTTGTTGAGAAAGAGTAGTTTGCGGAATAGGAGAATCACCATTTCCAATCTAGAAATAGCTTTGGAGGTTCACTCAGTGGAAGGTTTCGAAAAAGGGTGATAAAGGTGAAATGGATGCTTGTTGTAAGGGGAGTGGCGTCGGTTTTCCCAGGGTGTCTGTAGCGGATGGAACACTTTCTACTGTCATATTTGGTTTCTTGTGGGAATGGTGAGCAGGTGCATTTTGCGAGTCAAGGAGGAAAAGTTAAAGTAACATTTTTCCTACTCTAGCTAATATTGCAAACAATACTAGAAGATTGTGGGGTGTTGTGCTTTTTGGATATCATGCTTTGCAAAGAGTTGAATGATTGGGAAATGGGGTAGTTATTGGACCTCCTAGGAAAATTGTATGCTAGTCCTAACATTTGCACGTGAGAGGACACCATGCGATTGTAGTCATGAAGATTTGAGGTAAAATCCATTTTATTAAGTTTTGGTGGGGCAGAGAAGGGTATCTTTCCCATGAAAAGGGGTTTGAAAAACTAAGGCACCTTCAAAAACTACATTTTTTGCATGAACGACAAAGCATGACGAGATTTTTACAATTTGATTAGAAGGCGGCAAATTGATGTTAACTGGTGTTGTATATGTAAGCATTATGGGAAACTAGTCAGTCATCTACTCATCGATTGCGAGGTGGCAATAGAGTCTTGGCCTCGAATTTCCCTCATTCTCTAAGTAGGTGGGTTAGGCAAGTAGAATATTCATTCTCCTAGTTCTCCAGTATAAGCTCAGAAAAATCATCAGTTGGGAGAAAAAAGTCTAAGGAACATAACCTAATTGCCCTCATTCTTCGAACGGCACTTTAAGGGAGTCCCTCCTTATTCCCAAACCTTTCAGGTCTAGACATCGATACAAAAAAATCTCAATGGAGGTAGGTGAAATTTAACCTATATATAACTGTATCTTACATGAGTTCCAATCCATATTACAAGATCAGAATAATACTTGTGTGATCCTTTTGCTTTCATATGCTAATTTTTCATAACAAATTAAACAATTTTTACTCTGATTTCATAATATTTGACAAAATTTATTTATATAGATTTTCTAGTGTTCTTAAATCAAATACCTAAATCTGTTGGCAAATTTTTAGCATCAAACCATATGTCTCAAAATCTAAGGATTTCAAATATGCAAATTTTCAATATTAAATTTGAAATCCAAACTCTAGCTGCTAATGCATTCTGAAGAAATATAAAGAATTTCATTTTATTAGATTTTACTTCTTACTGTTCGTTGTCTTTGATCTCATCTCAAAATCTTAAAAGAAGCTAAAAACTGATACTGGTTATACACTTTATAGGTCAGAATATATAAACCAAAAAATGGGGGATCCACTATCTAAAATATGGAAGACAAACTCGAGGTATTACATATAGAACGAAATTATAGATAATAGTAATACAGGTTGTAGACAGAAATATTAACAGCGAAGCATGGTATTTTTTTAAATAAAATGTATTGGGATTTCAGAAACTTTTATTAGGTGCGTTATCCCATCAAAATGAGACCTATTTTTTGCATTACGAAACACTACATTGAAGAACCATAAGGAGAACTAAAGGGAGAAAAAATATGTTCAATGTTAATAAACCAAAGCCAATTAACGTTTCGTTCTTGAAAGCTTGATTCTCAAACAAATGGAAGATCAAACTATAAGTCAACATCTGATTCACCATGTTTTCATTATTTTTCCACCCTTCCTTTGAAAGGCTGGTTTTGGTAACAAAATGAGAGATACCTTGACTGTCGAAAGAACAAGTTTGGCATGTCTTTCTTGCCATGCCGTAAGATCTTGCCGAACATTTGACACTGTGGGAATATCAGACATTTCTGAATCATCTGCATACCAAAGACAAGCTCATTGCATATGAGGAAATAATATACAAAGGAAAACAGGACCAACAACATTTGCATATCAATTTTGTTGAAACCCAATGCATTGAACTTCAAAACCCAAGTTAACACTGAATGACCAGGTGCATGAACACATCTATACTTAACACTGAATGACTCTGTTTCCTTGTGGAAAACACTTGAAATGTTGCTCAAGCATGCCAAGACATGGTCATCACATGCATCTATGCAAGACAACTCTCAAATAAGAAAGTAATCTACACTTCAATACGAATTGAAGACACCACTTCAAAACAAGACAGAACAAAACAACAATATCCCACACATCCATACCTACTTTACGGTTGGCATGTTACCAACTTGAATCCTATTCCAGAAGTGATACAGCCACAACAATTAAAACAACAAAGAGCGCACTACAATAGCTTTCCAAGCTCATTAGGAAAATCACAATGATCATAATAGCACCCTTAGCTTCCATCCATCCCCCTAATCAAAAGTATCTATGATAGATTCAACATCAAAACTTCAAGCAATGTCTTTCTCAATACATCTGATCAAATAACTAGCTAAAAAATTATTTTTCATCCTTTCGTGCAGTTTAGCTTTGACAAGTTTTATAGTTGAAAATGAATATTCCAATGCAAGGTTGAAACAAACACGCGAAGTTAACACAAGACAAATCAATCTATTAATAAAAATAAAAATAAAAATAAAAATGCTTGGTCAAACAAAGTCAATAGTCTCATTTCCAAAAGATGAACAAACAAAAATGGACGATAAACCAAATACAAATACAAGAATAAAAACAACCTAGAACAATATATCAATAACACACATATCAAACACATGAGGCATACCACAAGACAAACAAACAACAATGTAAACCTTAATCTTTTATACCACAAATTTGAATAGGTTCCAACCAATGCCAGATTAATTATAGTTTCAAATACCCAATATTTTATTCAAAGAATGTTTTTCGAATTTTATGAGGATTAAACTATTTCACTATTTTTCCTAAAAGCTTAAAATTAAAAATAATCTTTTATATATAAACTAGTTTGACATAAAATTTAGGCAATATTCAATAAAATTGGACTAGACAACTATTCTTAAAATTGACATACAGTTAATTTGGAAGTGCAATCCTCTGTAATTTTGGGGGTACAGCAAATCCGTATGATTATGGTACTATCTTACAAATTTCTAGTATAATATGGTCTCTCTCCAATCCAACTAGACTTTCCAACAGTACTAGAAGAATGATACTTTTTAACTCAGCAATGTAGTTAGTTGTACTATTTTCCAGTATAAAAGTTTTAAAACCCTAATTTGTTGTATTTTCCCTCCTTTTCCTAGCAACCAAACAAGCTTCAGAATACTATACCTTCTAATGGAAAATCCCGAAATGTATTCATCGTAATGCTCTTCACAAACTCTCTCAACTCATCCGTAACCCCAAACTTCTCAAGATCAGCGGCCTCGTCCTCCGCCGCCGCCTCCGTAGACGCCGTTGTCTCCAACGAAGCCTCAACGAGAGAAGATAGCGCGGCGGCTGGAGGAATCTGAGCCTTGATCTGGTCGGCTCGCTTGAGCGCCTCCACCTTGATCTGATCGGCTCGCTTCGACGCCTCGGATACGATTTCGGAGAGCTTCGACGAACCGATCGTGAAATCCTGCGATCGCTTAGCGGCTTCAATGGTCAGTTCTTGAGATCGCTTCGCGGCTTCCTCGGCGAAGCTTCGAGCTCTCTGCCAGAAATCCATGGCTGGTGACGAGAAAAATGAAATTGATTTTTAGTTTTTGAATGTGACGACCACCACGATGACGATGATGATGTTGATGATAACGGTGATGGATGGTGATGTGAACGATGCGGATTTGACGAACATGGAGGGGGGTTTTGTATGGGGAACGATAAGGTGGAGTGGGTTCTAGGGTTTGGAATGTGGAAGCGTAATCGTGAGACAACCACGTGGCATAGTTGACCCAGTCTATTGAATGAAGGGGGTATGTGATTGGTTAAGTTTTCTCACAATTCTATGAGTCAATGGACAATTAGCGTGGACCAAACTAAGGCCTGGTTTGGCATCTACTATATAATCTATCTTTTTATCTTTTTATCTTTTTTTCATCACATCACCTCTCTATTTTTCTGTATATCTTTTCGTAAAAAGACAAAAAGTACACTTTTTTAGGACATCCCAAACCAACCCTAAAAGAAGCAATGAATAGGGAAGAGGACTGTGATAAAGGAAAAATTATTTGGTGCTCTGCACGTCATGTAACGGTGTTTCTTATCAATTACAATATATCAGCTTCTTGTTATTTTCTATTTAGGCCCCGTTTGGGACTTACTTTTTTAGTCAAAAAGTTAAAAAGTTATCTTTTTAGGGTTGTTTTGGGAAGTTAGTTAAAAGTGACTTTTTGACTTTTAACTAAGTTTTTAGTTTTTTTAGACAAATGATTTGAGAAGTTGGTAAAAAGTGACTTTTTGACTTGGGGTATGTGATTGGTTAAGTTTTCTCACAACTCTATGAGTCAATGGACAGTTAGCGTGGACCAAACTAAAAGAAGCAATGAATAGGGAAGAGGACTGTGATAAAGGAAAAATTATTTGGTGCTCTGCACGTCATGTAACGGTGTTTCTTATCAATTACAATATATCAGCTTCTTGTTATTTTCTATTTACACCTCTTTTATTTTTTTAATAAAAAAATCAAAAAATTATTAAAAAAATTTAAAAAATCAATAATTCATACTAAAAAATCAAAAAAAAAAATTCTCTCTACTTTTTATATATCTTTTTATAAAAAATCAAAAAATATCTGAAACATACTAATTTTTTCCATCACATTTTAGCAAAAAAATTAAAAAATTACTAAAAAAACTTGTTTTCAAACGAGGCTTTAATCAACGCAGGATTATTGACCCCATCTTTTCCACCCAATTACAACATCATGAATATCATGTGATCGTATTACAGGATTATCAAATAACTTCTTATAATAAAAATCGAATTAAATGGTGATTTTATTACAATATTGAAAGGTGTTATATGATAATGTTACATGTATTAATTAATATATATATTAGTCTATTAATTAGTGTTATATCATTATTATAAATTTTATCTATTATACAAATTATAAATACGTAAAATCTTTAAAATTATGCCACATCATCAATTAGTATATTAGTTAATACATTAATTGGTACATATAGTATTATTCGGTGCTATATCATCTAATAAATCAGAATAATGTTATATGTACCAATTAGTATACTAATTAGGCAACGTTTGATAACGTTTACGTTTTTTGTTTATATTTACAAAAAATTTATAAACTGGTTTTTGTTTAGAAAAACATAAATTACAAAAGTATTTGGTTTGAACAAAATGTTTGAAATTTTTTTGTAAGAGGAGTTAATTTGAGCCCACTAAATTAATTAGGCCCAATAGTCCAAGGTTGGTAGGTCCGAATTTATCGCAAGTCCAAGATTGGTGGGCCCGGTTTTATTGCCATCAAACGGGCCGAATCGCTCTAAGCCTCGAAACGGTTCGGATCCACGAACTTAGAGACTTACTTGGGCCCAGACTCGAAAGGGTATTGAGCAAGCCTAGAGATCCAAGACACTTGGTCTTTGAACAGATTCAAACGCAATCTAGAAGTCGCTCCGTTAATGAGTCTCAGAACACTTGCCAGTTAGGAGCTTTCCGGGATCTACGTGCCAGAACCATGGGCGTAATGGAGTTCGAACAAAGGACCTGATCCCGATGACGATAAGTGAAGATAAATTCACTCTTCGGTTAAACTAGCCTATACCCGGGTCAAGGTGGCATGACCCCAGAGGGTCCATGAGACTCGACAATATTTAGTGGTGTGGCCTCTAGGACTACCTCGGCCCTTTGGGATGATTGAGGATTATTGGTTAGGTGTGGCTAAGAAGAAGGGTTCACCGAGAGGTTGATCTCCTCTTCGAGGTTTTCCTCATCCTCGGAGAGGTCACCTTCTCGGACAAGGTGGTTAGAGAGAATATTCCCTATGTGCCTTGCACATGGGCTCCATCCTACATTATGAGGTGCCTATAAATAGCACCCACCCATAGCTTTATAAGAGATGGATTTTGGAGAGATAACTCTTGGGAAAGAACTAATTTCCCTTCTCTATTATCAACCTTGAGAGTAAAAGTGGGAGATCCATGGGAGAGCCTTGCCATTATTCTCTCTCTAACTACTTTGCCTTCTTCTTCATCCAATCTCTTATCTCCATCATCTCTTTGCTTTTGTGTTCTTAGTTGTGACTATTGAAGAATGTCTCTCATCATTTTCTTAAGAATTTGAATTTTTTTTCAAAGATCTTCGAATTTTCTAACGATGTTTTGAACCCTCTCATACATTTGGTGACTTCATTGGGGACGCGGATTGGTTAATGGTCTCAACGAGATCAGGAACCCACACAACTCCAGCAAGGATGGCGAGAGAAGATGAAGATCATCAACAAGGATTCTTTAACGGTGGTGATGACAGGACCATGGCTCCAGATCAACCATTTTTACTCGAAGCCATTCAAGGACTTCAAAATACTCAGCAGGAGATTCTTACCACTCTTCAAAATCTCACTCACACCATGTTGGTGATGAGTTCTAATTTTGCACCGGCACCAAACGGAAATCAAACTAGTAGTGGAGTTATCCTCGCCGGAGTGCAAAATCAAATCCAATGAGAAATAGGCCCGAGTCAGCCCATGGCTCATAACAACACAACCACCATAACACATGCTTAAACCACAGTAGGTGACAGCAGTTTGCCCATGCCTGGGCTCCATGGCGTGACGATGGTGACTAGAGAAGGTTCTGGTGTAATGAATGGCGCTCCGGCGACTGTTGGTGTCCAGGCAAATATAAGGGGCATGATGGCACAAAAGGGAGCTCTTCCCGTACCTAATCTTGTTACACCACCAGTAAATGTTACTCAAGTACCAAGTGGGCCTCCTTTGGTGCCGACAACAAATTTGCAAACCTAACTCGGTATAGCTGCGCCGTGCGGTGGACTTTACGGGCCTCAATTCAATGTCCCATCACCAATTAGCTTGTCCATAGGCGCTGATGGCCAGTATCGTCAAGTGCCTTCGCCAATGATGAATTCTCAATACCAGAATGGCCAAGTCGCTCCTAGTTCAGTTTTCGGGTCCATAAGCCAAGTTCCGAGAATGCCACCATCAAACTCTCTCCTTCAACAGTTTCTCACTCTCGCAGATGTGCAAGCCATGTTCGATCTCGAACGGGGCAAGAGGACTTTACCCTCTTTGCCTGATCCGGATGTCAAGCCACCTTACCCTATCGAGATGTTGAGTTATCCATACCCGGAGAGGTACACGATGCCAAAGTTTATCAAATTCGATAGCAAGCAAGGAAATGCTCGAGAACATGTTGTGCGATTCATCAAGACTCTGGGTATTCATAGTTCAAACCACGTTCTCAAGCTGAAAGAATTCTCTAAGTCCCTCACTGACTGAGCATATAGTTGGTATGTTAATTTGGCCCCAAACTCTATCCAAAGTTGGGAGGAAATGGTTAACAAATTCCACTCCAAGTTCTTTCAAGTGGCTGAGAAGGTGACCATACTTACATTGTGTAAAGAAAAGCAACGAGAAAGTGAGGACATCCTTGACTACGTCAAAAGGTTTCAGGACAAGGCTGTGGATTGCCATGAAGCAGTGGAGGAGAGTTATCTAGTTCAAATCTGTCTAGAGGGGGCATTGAACAGGTACAAAATGTTTCTAGTTAATCACAAGCTACCCACCTTCTCGGCACTAATAGAAGTAGCTCAGAACATTAGCACTCCTCAGGCTCAGGAGTCCGGATTTAAGGCCAGTTACAAGACTAGCTTCAAATCATCTTGTGGACCTATTGTTGCTGCTGCCTCTGCCCTAGATACCCGAAAGTCACAAGGAGAGGGTCATAGAGGCCAGAAAGCAATATAGTGGTGAGAAGGGAAATGTTTCTTATCCATGTGGAATTGAGGAGGTAAAAGCTCTAGTTAAGGAATGGGTGGCCTATGGAGAGCTAAAATTACCTTATGTCGAAGAAATTCCATCAAAGAAGGGCTGCGAGAGCCCCGAGTTTTGTGTCTATCATCGTACATTGAAACATCCAACAGAGAAGTGTTGGACTCTCAGGAAACTCTTCAGAGATAAAGTTGAAGCAGACGAATTGAGGTTCAAAAAGCAAGGAACTCAAGATATCCGAGAACAACCATATCCGCAGCACCAAGACAAGGGCAAGAATGTTGCTATGATAGCTTATGAAGGCCTGATGATTGAGGCTATCACCAATCTCGATGACGATGATTGTTATCTGGACGACATCTTCGAGCTCGAGGGTGACCAAGTTTACTATGGAAGTGCTCTCGATCCAGAGGGCAAAACCTTTATGACTCATGTCGAAGATCCTTTTGATCCAGAAGGAGGAGAAGAATACTACGGAAGATGAGGACACCATGTTTATGTGGCATCTTATTTTGAAAAAACTGAGGAGATGGTTAACTATGAGCCTCCAAGAGTGGAAAAAGATCCAGATCATTATGCTAAAACCCTGCAAGAATGTGTAAAGTTCAAGCAATTCTTCGACCAGCTTGGACTTTCCAAGGAGGCAAGAACAGAAATCAAAAAGTCTATTATTAATATAGCCGAGGCACACCATGAGGAATGCATGTCGACTAAGGGATCTATCCCGAGGAAGGCAAAGAGCAATCTAGTGCCATTACTTTCTCCGAGATTGATCAGAAGTATCCCTTTTCTCACAACCGCCTACTTTATGTAACTACTTTTATTAACGGGGTTGAGTTCAAAAGAGTCTTTCTAGACAGCGGAGCCTCTATCAACATTATGACTCACGCTACTCTAAAGAAGGCTGGAATCTCTGAAGAGTGCATTGTGAAGCAGCCGATAGTCATCACTGGCTTTGGTAGAGAAATGAAAGTTAATATAGGATGCGTAACAGTTGATTTAGCCGTCAGAGAGATTCGCTCGGCCACCAAGTTCCATATTATCGATTCTGAGGCAAATTATCACATCATTCTAGGGAGGACTTGGATGTATAGATATAGGGTTGTACCGTCGAGTTATCATCAATGTGTTAAAGCTAAATGGGGAAAGAAGACGGTGACAATTCAGGCTACAGAAAGACCTTTCGAGACCCATAAAGCTCATTATTCTGATGCCATCTACTTCACCGAATTGGCTGTCGAAGAAATTAACACCACTTCTAAGCCTCGGGGGGTCAAAATTCCTCGTTGGGAGGATATCAAAGATAACAAGGAGCCAAGGGCAAAATCAAGTAAACGGGCGATGTCTCAACCAGAAAGTCCGCCTATTCCTCGGAAGGTGATAAAAGTTCAAGAATGGGGCAAGATGGTGTACTATTTGTGAAGGTGCGGGGAGTCGATTTCTTCAGCCACCGACTTCGAGTCAAAACAAGAGCCTCTTGACAATGACATAGTAATGAAGCCTGAAGTGGCTCCAGAATGCATGCAAGATGGGTCGAAGCGTCAGCCCAAACAACTTATTGAAATAGATCTAAGTGATGGACAAGATGCTCTAAGGCCGATATTCATAAGTTCGAGCCTTAGCCCAAAGAAGCAGGAGCAATTGTTAAAGTTGATAAGCCGGTACTCAAATGTGTTTGCTTGGTCATATAGGGAAATGCCCGGACTAGATCCTGACCTAGTCTCCCATTATCTTGATGTGTTCCCAAACTCCAAGCCAATCAAGCAAGCTGTTCGAAAATATCTTCCAGATCTCAAAAAGAAGATTAAGGAGGAAATTGAAAAACTTCAATAGGCAGGTTTCATCCGGCCAATACAATACCCCACGTGGTTGGCAAACATAGTGCTAGTAAAGAAGAAGAATGGTCAAATCAGAGTATGTGTAGACTTTCGAGATTTGAACAAATCGTGCCCAAATGATGACTTCTCTCTATCTCACATTGATACTCTCGTGGATGCCACCTTAAGACACCAGATGTTCTCATTCATGGAAGGATTCAACGGATATAATCAGATTAAGATGGCCAAAGAGGAAGCAAAAAAGACTGCTTTTAGAACACCTCTCGAAAACTTCTTCTATACAATCATGCTTTTCGGACTCAAGAATGCCGGAGCAACTTACCAAAGAGCTATGACTGCGAGCTTTCATGACATGATCCATCATGAGGTGGAAGATTATATTGATGATCTAGTGGTGAAATCCAAAAAAGAAGGGGACCATCTCCGAGACCTTGAGAAAGTATTCAAGAGATGTCAGAAATTCAAAATGAGGATGAATCATCTCAAATGTGCTTTCGGGGTGATAGCTGGGAAGTTTCTCGGGTTTCTTGTACATAGACATGGTATCAAGCTAGATGAAGACAAGGTCAAGTCTATTAGAGCAATGCCTCCCCCGCATTCTCAGAAAGAGTTAAAGAAGTTCCTCGGGAAAGTGTCTTATATTTAGAGGTTTATCCCAGCACTTGCAGAGATCTCTACCCCCTTCGGCTCTTTGTTAAAAGGAGATGCTAAGTTCGAGTGGAACCAAGAGCACCAAAAAGCCTTAGAGAGAATCAAGACGGCCTTGACCTCACTTCAGACCATGATAGCCCTGCAGCTTGGGGTGCCTCTAATGTTGTACCTAACTTCAACCCCCAAGTCCATAGGGGCATTATTAGTCCAAGATGTAGATGGAGTAGAACGCCCGGTGTATTACATCAGCTAGGAGATTCGAGGAGCAGAAGTCCGATATACTCCGGTAAAGAGACATTGTTTAGCTTTGGTATTTACCGCCCAAAAGCTCATACATTACTTTTTAGCACATCAAATTCAGATTGTTACCAGAAGTGAGCCAATGCGATACTTCTTTAGCAAGCCTGCACTAACCAGAAAGGTGGCAAGATGGTTGTTAGCATTGGGTGAATTCAAGATCACGTGTGTAGCTCCCAAGGTGATCAAAAGCCAAGCCTTAGCCGATCTTCTTGCCCAATTTCCAAGTGGTGACTATGAACCAGTGAGTGAAGAATTATGAGGAGAAGTGCATGCAGCCATGGTTTCCGAGGAAAGCTTTTGGACATTAAGCTTTAACGAAGTAGCAGCCAGAGGGAAAGGTGGAACCGAGATAGTCCTTACAAGCAAAAGTGGAGAAAATTTGTATTTGTCTCATAAACTGGACTTTCATTATTCGAATAATGAAGCCGAGTATGAGGCTCTTATTTTGGGCTTGACAACAGCTGAGAAGCATAATATCAAGAAGATTCGAATTCGGGGGACTCGAAGTTAATAGTGAAGTAAGTTTCGAGACAATTTGTCTTAAAAGAGCTTGCCTTGGCCACATACCGCACGACAATCCAAAGGCTTCTTGACAAATTTCAGAAGGTCGAAATAGAGCATGTGCCTTACTCCGACAATAAGTTTTCAGATACCCTTGCAACACTAGGGGTAAGAGTTAACATTCCCGAGGAAGAGGTGACAATTGTTATTAAGAAGAGAATAGAGCCTTCGATAATATCTGAGGACAAAGACCTTCCGGAGGACTGGAGATGAGAAGTCCTCGAACAACTCAGAAACAAAGTTGGAAAATTGACTATGGCCAAGCTTACCCAATTCATAATTATTCAAGGTGAACTTTACTTCCGATGAGGTATCGGATTCCTAGCCCGGTGTGTTGGGCAACAAGAAGCAAGCTTCCGACTACAACAGATTCATGAAAAGTCCTGCAGGGATGAGGATATTAGTCTGTACAAAAGAACCCAAAGACAAGGCTATTATTGGCCCGGGATGGAAAATGCCTCAAATCAACTACAGAAAGAATGCCCCAAGTGTCATTCATACATCCGGGAGGATGAGGGTTGCTTTGAAATTTATACCTCTGACTAGAGATAAGTCTACATTGACTATCTCAAAGAGGGACACTACTTGAGAGCCCGAGGGACATTGCACACCTCAAGAGGAGAGCGATGTGGTACTTTCTTGATCAGAACAAGCTTTACAGAAGAAGCATTGAGGGCACTCCCCTGAGGTGTCTCTTCAAGGAGGAGTCGGATCTAGTTATCGAATCTAGTCCTCAGAAGAGCCCACAAAATTGAGCATCAATGAGGGGCTCGGCTGTTTGAGCAACTTATACACCTTGGGTATTATTGGCTGACCATGGAGTCAGATGCGTCCCATCACGTGAAGAGGTGCCAGACTTGTCAGAAACACAGAAATTTGATCCATGCTCTAGCCGTAGACCTGCATAGCATCCGAACGCCATGGCCGTTCCATTCCTGGACTTTTGACCTAATAAGGCCCATCTACATACCTTCCAAAGGGTACAAGTGGATTCTCGCAGCTACGGAATTGAGCACAAAGTGGGGCGAAACAATCCCTCTGAAGAATGCTACAAGGCCCACATTCGTGAACTTCATTAAGGAAAATATCATTTGCCGGTTCGGAGTACCGAACACCATCATCTCAGACAACGGCACACCCTTCATAAACAAATATGTGAAGAGCCTCCTAGAGACTTACCAAGTGAAGCATCACAAATCCACACCCTACTATCCAAAATGGAACGGGCAAGCGGAAGCCATAAACAAGACACTAATAAGGATTCTGGGCAAGATGATGAATGAATTTGGTGGGACTTGGTCCAAACAGCTGATAGTAGCCCTATGGGTGTATCGCACCTCAAAGAGAAAGCTAACTCAAACAACTTCTTACTCCTTTGTGTATGGGTCCGAGGCAGTGTTACTTATAGAGTTGAAAACACCATCTGCTTGGATGGCTCTCACCTTGGGGATGGTGCTGGAGCCTCGAACCACCAGATTTGAGGCATTAGAGGAAAAGCATGACAGAGCCGTAAAAGTCATGGAAAGGTATCATGAGTCCATCGCCCGAGCCTATGATCAGACTACGGTGCCAAGAAAGTTCGAAGAAGGTGATCTAGTAGGGAAAATCGTAGACCCAATCATGCGAGGACAACCCTTGCCCAAGTTTTCTCCAAAATGGGAAAGGCCCTACAGGGTGGTTCAAGCAAGCTTAAGCGGGTACTACAGGCTTGTAAGGGTTGAAGACGGCTTCTGAACTGGCCCGGTCAATGCAAAGTTTATCAAGCGTTACTACCCGTAGATAGACTCATCTATGTTGAAACTCATTTTCATTTTCTTACTTTGTCTAAAAGTTATATTTCCCTTACGGTATGAAGAAGTTGGCTTCATTTACGGTGTATGTCTGTCCCATCACCTGTAGTGAATATATTATACTTTTGTCAAGAAAGTTGAAGAATTAATGAGAATATTTCAGTTTTTATAAACATGTGCATGTGATTGTTCTTTCCATTGTATCATTCGAAATAAATATTTTATCAAGTAAAATGAGAAAACAGTGCGAAAATCTCCAAACGACAAAGATTTTGTCATTTTATTACATTGTCTTAGATAAAACATTTTTATCGAAAGGGGCAAGAAAAGTTTAAAAAAAGGACTCAATCTCTCCTAAAAACACCCTTGAAGAAGCTGCCCGTCACATCTACATCCTGAGGATAAACAGCAGAGTGTGCCTCTAAAGTCTCCAAGGCCTAAACATACCCCGACTCAAGTTCACGAAAAGTTGTCTTTGTCTCATCTATAGAGGTCCGATAAGAGGCAAGCATAGACAAAACTTCTACCCGTCGACTGGTATTCGAGGCTATATCCAAGCGCTTCCAAAGCCAAGATAGATCCACTTGATGACGCTCCATGTTGGAAATCCCCTGATGTACTATCTCTACTACTTTCCCGTTAAGGTCACATAGCCATTGCCTATCCAAACTATACAGGATAGAGGCAAAAGACTTAAGTATAACAGTCTGAATGAGCGGACATTGGCAAGCAAAGGAAGCAAAGGTCACGGGGTAACTCAAATGCACAAGCTGTAGAACCGCATAAACTTAGGAGCTACCCAATAGTGGAGAAATGTTACTTTGCCAGAAGTCGGAGGAGGAACTGGGGCTGGAAAGGTATTAATCTTAGGAACCTCCTCAATTTCTACCGGGTTATATGAACCACCCGGAGAGGTAACTTCCGGAATAAGTCCCGAACCTGAGAATACGGGCTGATGAGGGGAAATGCCAAAAACATCACTATTAAAGTGGAAATCACTCAGATTTAGATCCAAAACATTCGAAGGCACTTGCGATGAAGAGCCTCTAGCAGTCGTTTCAAAGGTAGGTGTGTCCCCTCGAGAAAGAGAGCCATGAAGAGTCACAAAGAGAGTCGGGGTAGAGTCCGAGGCAGGTGAAGGCAGGACCCCGGTAGCGGCTAACACTGAAAAAAAGATAAGGAAGTCTTATTAGGGGCATGGAGTAGTAAAGCCATTTGAGTAAAGAGTTCTCATAGACAGAAGTACATGACAAACTTCAGAAAGAAAGATTACCTAAGGGAGAATCATTATGCAAAGCCGGGGCAACTGAAGGGCTCCTAGCATCAACAAAGTGACTTGGCCGTACATGGGGCACCTGATCGATCTCAACATCTAATGAGTCAGAACAATAGCAGTTATCCTTGAAGAAAGAAGGAAGGCCGGAGGATAAGAATCACCATAAATGCCAGAGCGAGTCTCATAGACTTTTAGCACCTCCACCTCCACACTATTTCCAGAGGCGCACCTCATCTTTGAACGGCCTCCAAAAGCATGTCCCTCGAAAGCATATCTCATCTCTACATTGCCTCAAGAAGTATGTCTTGTGGAAGCACACCTCATCTCTACATTGTCTCCAGAAGCATCGCCTGTGGCATCAATTCCTGTGGCACCAGTCCTTTCAACAATCTCAGCACCAGAGCCATGGTTCTCAATAATCTCAATATCAGAACAGTGAGCCCCCGATAACCTTGTCACCAAGATGACGCTCCTCTCCTGAAACTAAGCGACAAGGGGAATATTTGACCAATGGGGAGGCATCCTCAGTCACAATAGGACGGTGACGACGCATACGTGGGACAAGGTCACAAAAATGAAGACTCAGCCTCATCATCATCATCATCTATAACTGCTATACGAGGGGTGCGCATCTTCACGAGTCTTGCAAACAAAGAGAGGGTGTCATCCAGGTCGGAGTCCGGCCTGGTAGGAGCAGCATGGCTAATAGCCACGGTACCAAGAACGTCAACAACCGCAGGGTCAAAAAACGGAGTAGGATCTTGCACAACAGGAAAAGTAAAGATTGTTCATTTAAGAAGGTATAGTCACAAGAAGAAAAGTAACTTCAAATCAACAAAAAAGGAAAAAAAAAAACTAAGATGTCTATCTGGTACCTGATGGAGCCTTTTGGAAAGGCGAGGAGTGGAAGGATTGGCATCAGAAGCCCTCTTGTAGGCCATCTTCTTAAGGTGGGTCGTCCGAGGACCAGAAGCCTTATTCAGAGGGACTGGCTCTGGAGAAGCAATCACCAAGCTAGAAGTGGATATCCGAGCTGGAGGGTCAGTTAGAGCAGATGAAGTGAAGAAGCTCTCATGCATATGATCAGATTTCCGACTCTTAGGCAACCGAAGAAAAGAGTCCTTCTTATAAATCGGCGGAGGCAAACATATGGTCGGTCTACTCTGGACAAACTCAATAAATGCATTAATGTTCTTTCACGAATATCTCTTGAAAGAATGGGTGAAACCCCCTACCCGGCTCAAACCCGGCATCGTCAAAGAGCCGAATATAGGAAGCATGGTGTGTACGAGTTCGCGAGTAAAGTGCCCGTAGCTTTTTGAAAAAGATAATAAATGAGGTGCTGGCTCCGGGGCACACTGGTCAAACCTGAATTGGCATGCTACTCTGTCAGGTCTATAGATGGTGCTATCAATGCCCTCCTCATGCCATACCGGTAGTGAACTCGGACGAACCATTATCAGCATATCAACAAGGTATGTAGAGATGCCCTTCGGCAAGGGAAAGGACACCAGGAGGGACGAACCATGATAGATAAGTGGCATTGCCACACCCACCGGTGGGCATACATAGGGGCATGCCACAAAGTGCCGGGGATCATCCACCAAAGTATTCAGGGATATGGGGGAAATGACACGTGACCAACATGTGATTAGCGGCTGGCACGTCTTCGCTTTCTCAAATGTGCGAGACCCGTCATTACCGAGCACGGGGATGCCTTCTTTATCCACTATCTCCCGAAGAACTTCTACCTCGAATACAGTCAAAGTAGGGGCAAACTTTGGGAACCTCTCGAATAAGAAACAGAGCAGGAACTGACTGTGGACGAAGGAGATAGACTCATACTGACCCACAGAACATACCATGTCTCAATGTAGCAGATCCAGCCGGTAATAAAGGTTCCCAAGAAATAGCGGGGCCAAAGGGATCCGATCCCCTTTGAAGAACCTAACTGCCAAAGGGAAGACAAAAAGATTGAGAGAATATGGAGGTGTACTCGGAAGAATGAAGAATGAGAGAAAGCAGGCCCGAAATCCTAGAAAATAGAGCCTAGAGCCATACATCGGGCCGACCTCATACTCTTGAGAACCAAAATCAGCATCTTTAGCCAGGGGTTGAAGATCTTTGAAGAAGTGACGGATCTATGTGGTGTAGGAGGCATGGACCATCCTCACTCGTTTGATCCTCCTTGTTGAACCATCAAATACAGAGCTCCACCAACCACAAGCTTGAAGATTTTGCTTTAGGGATTGGATCAAAGAATCATCCTCGAAGAGTATCCGCTTAAGGCAAAAGACATCAGGGCTAGTCACTTCTAGACGCAGCAACATGAATACATCCTTGAGGGTGGGCCCCATCTTATGTTGGACAAGTATGAAAGTGTGTGTCTCGGTGCTCCACTGAAGAGCCATGGCTTCAAGGCTAGCATTGTTACGATGAATGGATAAGGATCGAGATATTTTCACTGGAATCAATAGTCGGGCCTCTTGAAGCTACTGGCAGAGGCCCCTATCCGAGAGGACATGTGATATCCCTGTTCCGTAATATGTTAATTAGTCCTTAATATGAGTATGATTATGTGTTTAATATGATTTTGTGTGCCATTATGTAAAAATATGTGGTTTTGAATTTCTATCTGTTCACCGTAGGAATATCTGTTTGATTATCTGCTTTGGAAATTAAATTGAAGGCCTTATCGGCCACGGAGCCCGAAATTGACTGCGCCTTTATGATTGGCGTAATTTTTAGAGCCTACGGTGAAATTTAATTGGAATTTGATGCGGATCAAATTAATCAGATTGAATTTGATGAATTAGTGCTCAATTATTTTATATTAAAATAATATGACCAAGGGAGCTCTTATTAAGGCCATTACACTCTCATTTTTGTTTCTTTTTTAGTTTAACTTCTGAAATTATGCTTTAGAGAGAGAGAGAGAGGGGCCGGATTTAGTGAGAGAAGAGGCTCAAAGTAGAGATTTGCTAAGGAACTTGGTAATCTTGAAGCTACACTCAAGAATTAAGCCTCTAGGTAAGTGAATTCATGAATTGTAAGTTATCATCTTGAGAATTCAAGTTTGAATAATGGTCAAGAACATGGATTAAATTGATTATGAGGAAATTGAGTTGATTTTGTTGTATTTGAAGTCATTAGAGGTTTGCATGTAGGAAAATTGCTATAAATTTTCATGTTTAAGCATAAATTGTGTAATCCATGATGAATCTTGTTTGAAATCCATGTATTTGATCATCTCTTCACCAATTAAATTGAGAATCATGAATATCCCTCACATTCAAGTGTAGATCATGGAGGTGTGAGCTTTGCATGTTTGAATTTGATGTGTTGGTGATGAGTTTGGGTTAATTTGAGGCATGCATGTGATTAAATTGTGAAATTGAGCTTCATTGTGTTGTAATTTGGTGTTTATACCATGTTAGAATATGTATATATGAAGCTTGAGCCAAAATCATGCATTTGGAACCTTTGAACATCAAATTGAAGCTCAAGAACATGTTCTAGATTTTCCAGAATTTTGATGTCCGCTCGAGCGGGGAAACAGCCGCTCGAGCGTGAAATTCGTGTTCCCAGTATTTTCTGCAGTGTCCGCTCGAGTGGGGAATTTTACGCTTGAGCAGGGAGCCATGTTGAGAGGCCTTCCACTAGAGCGCCAGAGTTCGCGATCGAGCATAAATTTGACACATCCAGTACTTTTGCAGGCCTCAAGGGTCCGCTCGAGCGGGGAAGTCCACGCTCGAGCGAGGACCCTGTTTTCTGAAATTTTGAAAAGGACATTCTGTGTTTCATTTTATGTTCTCTTTCACTTCTAAGTACTCTTAGGCATGCATTGAGCATTGTAATTGAGTTAAAGAGATAAGAATGAAGCCTGAAGAGGAATATGTGAATTTAGAACGGATCGAATTGTTTGTGACCCTTTTGTGTTCATGGAATGTGTAGGGTCAAGCTCCAGGGCAAACCAACCAACCGATCACTGTGAGTAATATCGATACCTTGAAGTCGTCATTTGTCCAATTGCTTATATCCTTATAAGCCTTATAAGTTTGCTAGTTTGAATTCTGGACAAATGTTTGATATGAATAAACGAATGGGCCAGAGGCCAGTTTGACATGAATGAATGGGCTAGAGGCCAGTTTGACATGAATGAAAGTTGAATGGGCCAAAGGCCAGTCTGACAAATGAAAGATAAATGGGCCAAAGGCCAGTATGTTTGGAACTATAGTTACTTGACCTAAATTATGTATATGTATGTTAAATAGAAATATGAATTGGGCCCAAGGCCGTTTGAAGCATGTTGTTCTACATATCGGTTGAATAACTTCTGTATTTGATATTATTCACTAGGCTATCGCTCACGCTCATTCATGTGTTTGTAGGTGAGCCAAGAGAAGTCCAGACCCAGCCTCAGTGATGTCTGTATGGAACAACAAAGGTTTTGAAGAGTCAGCCCTCGCGTCTCATGCACGAGACCCGTCTTCGCCTTTTTGTCATTCTGTTTTATTTTGTCATGTGGGCAAAGTCTTTGAATATGGTGTATATAGTTTTGATGGGTTGACTTAGACTATTATGATCCTGTATGTACAGAACCTTGTGTGGTACATATTTTGTTATGAGTTATTAATGTGCATATGTATGGTTGTTACGATGTGTCATGTAAGCACAACTCTATGGACAAAGTTTTAAATTGCTTCCGTTTGGCCCCCATTAACTCTGTTAAAATACGTTTAGTTTGGTTTGAGGCCGTAGGTAATCTCATGATTACTGGCCGGTTATGTCCTTAACCCACGGGGGCGGGTTCGGGTCATGACAGGACATCATCGACCCACTCCTGCCAACAAAAAAAAGGGTTTGAGAAAGCCCTGAACTGGGGATAGTAGTGTGGAAAGTCCCATTGCTCAACCTTAAAGCTTAGCACCGAAGAAGGGGAAATGAGAGCCTTATGTCTGGAATCAGTGTCCTCCGAAAGACACAATGGCGCCCCCTTTGGAGATAGAAGAGAAGTGGTGGAGGTAGCAGCTCGCCGAAACGGGTCATTCCGACCAAAATAAGGAGATTTCCTCCATTCAGATGCTGGCACATCCCTCTCTTTCATGAGAGCCGGTTCTGATGATCCTGAGACGACGGATTTCTTTCAAAAAGACATATAGCTGAAATAACAGATATAAATAGCAAGGAGTCGATTGTAAAATTCAGAATATTGGAAGTGAAGCAACGCAAATTAATACACTACAACGAAATTGAATTTTTATCGCTTGCAATGCATGTCGTAAAAACTCTTTCACGGCATGCACACAAATGTCGTTATATGACATGCCGTGAAAAATTAAACATCATTTACGGCATGCAGGTAAAGTTGTAAAAAATAATAAATTAAACATTAATGACATACTTTGTACGCCGTATATAATTTTTTACAACATTTTTGTCATGCCATAAATCATCAAATATATTTATGGCATACTTTGTATGCCGTATATAATATTTTACGGCATTTCTTGCATGTCATAAATCATCACACTTTTTACAACATAATTTTGTATGTCGTAGAATGTCATTTTTAATATATTTATGACATACTTTGTATGTTGTATATAATAGTTTACGGTATTTTCTTACATGTCATAAATCATTACACTTTTCATAACATAATTTTATATGCCGTAGAAGGTTATTTTTAATATATAATATATATACAGGAATATAACCTTGCCTAACAGTATGTAGACAGTAACTTATAAAATGCAACATGTTAACAAACCAAACAGAAGCCGTAACTATGAAGTAAGCAAAAAAAATCTAATATCCATAACCAAACAACCTGCATACTAACTTTCATCCTCAACTTCTATCATATCAAGCTGATAACAACCTCAAAAATACAAATCAAAAAAAGTATCAAAATCATAAGATTCACTAATCTCTAAAATACGACTTTAAACAACCAAAAAGTATAACTACAAATCGTAAATCAATTTTATCACTTTTGTTTTCCTTTGTCATGTATATTTAACTTTGATGCCCCCCTAGTTCTCTTCTTTGGTACTTGAGTGGAGTCTACAACTCCTTCCATATCATATGATTCAACATGTAGAGAAGTAGAACACTCATCTGAAATTCTGAATGATGCATTTCTTCTTTCATCCATTGTCACAGCAATTATAGCTTCACACTCCTTCCTAATTCTTTTCTCAGCTTTTTTTGAACTCTGTGCAATACACAAGGAAAAATAAGAAATAATGTGGACAACAATTGGTTATAAGTTCAATTTTATGTTAAATGAGAAATAAAGTACCTCTCCACTCATCTCGGGACACAAGGCTTAGTTTGGTTTGGTATGTCTTGAAATGTAAGATCTCACATAAAGCCTATGATGCATGTAATCTATCTATAGACTTTCCCCCTCAAAAAGTTTGAGCAGCATGGTACAAAACCAGTGACTGCAGAGGCAAATATAGTAGCCAGTCAACATGGAAACATGAAAACCCAGCCACAAAGACGACCAAAATATGAAAGTAAATCACTAATACAACTCCAAATAAATAAAACATAAGAAAATATGATGAAACTGCAAAGACGAAAAGTAAAATTTAGTAAAAAAGAGTAAAAACTCTTTATTTACCTGGTGCAAATTTCAGTCAAGAATAGACTGCTCTTTGAACTTGAGTTTGCATGAATATTGGCGATTGCCACGTATGTGCATTGTCCCATGGTGATTAAGGTACACTTTACCAAGGATAAGATTACAAATGGATGTTGTGACCTGAGAACAGAATAAACAAGTTTTAGAAGGGTGTGCCATAAAAGTAAAAGGAAAATAACAGAAATAAGCTTAAAACGGCCTAGCATTCCTTATTTTGCACAAACACAGCCATATCACAGTGCAAACCTACCTTGCTGCTCCACTGAAAAACCTCACCATCATGAAGCTCCTGGAGTTCCAATAAGGTCAAGCTGAATTGATGTCCCCCAAAATTTGGTTCTAAGGTTACTGTCACCCTAGAATTTCCAGCCTTTTCCTTCGCAATGGCAGGCAACAACTGTTGGGTGGTGAATAACCTATTTCGACAAATAACAAAGACAGTATGACATAACAATCATGATTAACAATCCAACATCCAAGATGAAAAGAGAACCAAAATTATACAAAATCTGCCTAAGAAACATATAGTGTTGAACACATTCAACCCTTGTGGAAAGGCCTCTTCAGATGTAAAATAGTTGTTCCCAACATTTTGTTAAGATTTGTCATTCTAAATTTGAGACATTTTCTTCCACATTTTTGCTTTGATTTCATGTTTGCCATTTTTTTTTCTCTGTTTAAAAATTTCATCATATCAATTTTTGCATCCAAGGATATACAGAAACTCTACCACGCAAAATTTTGACCCCCATCTAAATATGAACCTCAAACCAATTATTAGACCATTGTTCAATTTATTCAATATCAATTATTCTCCTTTCTGTAGATACTGACCTTCTTAGAGAAGAAGCGATTTACTTTCTCAAGATAATCAGCTTCATAAGTTTCCCCTAACAAAGGATTAAAGGGTTTATAATGCCTACCTTCAGATGAAGCATATCCAGACACCGCAAAAGCAGCAACAACCAGAACTTGCTGGAGACTATTTCCCTAGAAGCATAACACAATACCACAAGAAAATGTTAAACATCAAAACATTTGAAAATATTCTCTTTTTTTTTTATGTTGAAAATACATCTGAACTAAATTAATCATGCCAATAAATGAGCCATTAAAAAACTAGATCTCAAAGGTGTTCCACAAATAAACCTGTAAACAAGGAAAAACAAAACTACTTCCTACAAAAATAAGACAGTGATAACTTATAAAATAAAAATATATATAAAAAAGGTGTCTGTTATACACATAAACTTAAGACTAAGAAACAGATCCAGCCAGGGAAGCCATACGTTGAACACGGTGTTCACACACCCTCACAACACACCAAACAACTGAGAACTAAGACCCCCTAACTACCAAGCATTTCAATTGCAGATAAATGAGGTTTTTTTTTGTCATCCCATGGCCAAACAAGGGAAAAAGAGGTGAGTACTTCAGTTTACTTCTAATATTACCATAAAGACAAAATACTACTATTCATTTCCATCGTCATGTCATACACCGTAACATATTATGATGAAATTAACCCCTAGTCAGAAAAAATATCCTGAAGCAAATGCCTTGGCTTGTACTGTAACTATTACAATGATAATTTTAGGTCTTAACCTACCAAATATTTTTCCTAAAAGCATCCACCTAATCCACTAAACCTTAATGTCTTATATTAATGAACAACACCAAAAATAGGCACAATTTCTCCTTAAAGTAAAAACATGGCACCCAATTGCATCATGTAGAAGTCTTTACAAATGAAAAACAAAACGTAAATGAAAAACAAATATAGTCCATTCTTATTTTTAAAATTTTTAGATACACTTAATATAGAAAAATAAAAAAATGATGTGACAACTTATAATAAATAAATAAATAAGTGCACTTATTTGGTACATTATCAAACAAACTTCAAAAATCACACATATATATATATATATTTAAAAAACTACTAGTTTGGGATAACTTTGAATGAAGGCAAGTCACATAGTACTAATTATCATACCATATGCTTCACGGTACTTTTACTAATGTTTCTAGAAAAGTGTGCATGATTCGCATTCATTTTAATTATTCGCATTTCGATGAACATTGTGACTTTAAATTTTGGTCAAAATTGTACTTATCTACACTTAGCTTTTTTAAAAAATAAAAAAAAATACTTATTTATTTATTTATTTTTTTAATCATGACTTTGGTTAATGATTTTTGTTAGTATGGATTGTTGTCTGATTGTTTACTTTACTTTAATCATCTTGAAGAGAATATGATGGTTGTAAACAACATTGTAGGCTGTCAAATCTAGCTTACAGAAAATTCTCTCCAAAATGGGCATCTCATTACTTTAAAGGTACGTGTCTAAATTCTTATTTCTTTTGAATAGTAACCTTATACAACCGTAATTATTCTCGTTTCGTTCCAACAATAGATCTCATTGACAAGTTTCTTGGATTTAGTTATTGTGGTGCACAGATATTTGAAATTTATGGATTAGGAAAGGAGGTTGTTGATCATGCATTTTGTGGCAGTGTATCTAGTATTGGTGGATTAACTCTTGATGAGGTAAGAAATGTAACAAAAATGATCATGACCTCTACTACTTCTTGGTTTAGTTTAACTCTACGTTCATTTTTAACAAACACAAAGTGTGTATTGCTATTAAAAACTTCATATCTGAACTCATTCGATTAGACAGGAGGAGTAGTTCTCTATTTAAGAGTATGATGTTTCACAAACATGTGGTTAATTGATGTGTTCCAATTTACTCCTTCAGAACTCATTTATCAATAAAAAAAATTACTCTTTTAGAACTTATAGATCTATCCTGCTGTATCCATTTATTTACCTTTGGACATGGCAGCGCAGACATTTTGTTATGGTCAAGTGGATGTTATTATAAAAACTGGAATTATTGATTTAATTATACCAGAAGTATATAGCTTAGCACAGATCTACATGTTTCGTATTCTACTTAGTATTAAATGCACGGAGATTACTTCTTTTAGCTAGTGAACTAGGAGGCCAGAATATTGATCTTCCATGTCTTCTTATCACTTATATCTTTTAAATATAGAAATTTAATACCTTTGTGTTGCTATTTTGATCACCTGCTGTAGACACCCCATTTTTGACCGACCTTAAGACTCAGACATCACCAATTGAACACTCGATGATGATGCATATTGTGCTCGTTCTGAGGTTTTAGAGTCTCGGCTGCGAACCTTACCTCCAAACTTCGGGGCTCTTTTGTGCTTTGCCTCGGTTTGCGAACCAGGTCCTGTTTTCTCTATTTTCTCTTCCCAAAGGGAGGGAGAGGTCTCGTAGGCCATCTCTCAGTGGCCGTAGGCTACGTTTCGTGGTCGTAGGCCATATTTTCCGTTTGGAGACCAGTTTTTGATTTTCAGAGCCGTCAGCCGTGTGTCTCGGTTCCGGACCGCTTAACTACCTCCATTTGCTCCGGTTTTTGGCACACACCTTGTTTCCTCTCTTTTGAGGGACACTGTGGCCCGAGAGACCACCTTTGTGGTCGCACGCCACCTCCGGTGCCTAACAACCTATTTTCAGGGCCCCAGGCTACGCGTTTTGGGCCCCGAACCCTCGTTTTGCATCGGTTAGGGTTCATTTTTGGTATGGACCTTATTTTCATTGTTAGGAAGGTGATAGGATGGTAGGAGACCAGCAATTCTTTTGAAAATTATTTTCTCTCTCCTCCAGCGGTTTTCTTGACAGAAAGTTGATTTTTCTCACTTTTGGACCTTAATTTCTGGTCTCCTACACCATCATTGTATTGTACTCATCTGGGAAGCCACCAATATGGGTAGGCCGACCAGCTTTTCTTCCTGACCCTTTTGAACCTTGCTAAAAAGCTGGTTTTTCTCTCTCTTGGGTCACATTCTCTAGTCTCCCACCATACAGCTGTATTCTACTCATCTAGGAGGCCACCTTTCTGGTATGGCCGACCAGTATTCCTCCTTGACCCTTTTGACCCCTGGTCGGCCGACCAGGGGAAGTGGCCGGCCGACCACCTTGGCTGGTCGGCTAGCCTTCTGCTTTTTGGTCTTCCTGAGTGCAATACAGCTGTGCCAGCTGTGTAATACTTGACCCGCTGTCCGAGATTTTAGCCCTTTGTTTGGTCTTCTTAAGGTGGTTTTGACCCCTTGGCTTAGCTTCTAGGAGAAGTTTGTCCCTTTTGTCAAGCTTCTTGAGGAAGCTTGACCCTTTTTGGTCAAGTTTCTTTTAGAAGCTTTGACCACCTCTTGAGGCTTCTCCAAGAAGCCATAACTTTCCTCTCTACAAGAGAGGCCTCCCTCTCATTTTGCAAGGGTTGAACAATCTTGGCTAAGGCATACACCCATTTCCCCTCCATCTCTCTACTTCAAGCCTCCAAACACCCTTGTTCTTGGTCATTTACACTACACCTCATAGCCTACCATCTCCACCATCCATTCCAGCACCTTAGGACTAATTTGCAGAGGTTGAAGGTTCACCAACTTAGTCCAGAAGTTGTTGCATTGCTGTGCTACAAGGGTAAGTCTCCATTTTCCCTTTTCTTGTATTATTTTGCTATATACTTTAGCCCTATTTTCTAACATTTTTGGACTTCGACATAAATTGTAAAGTGTCTTATTTTGAGCTCCTCTTGAAGTTTGATTAAGGATACTTTTCTGTTTGAGGTCACCTACCTACTTGTATGCTTCATCTCTCTTTTAGGGCTTATTTTGCATGATATCTTAGCCTTACTTGCAAGCATTTTCGAGATTTTTCATGAACTAAAAAAAGTCTTATTTTGAGCCCCTCTTGAAGTTTGATTAGGGGCATTTTTATGTTTGGGGTCATCTTCCCCTTTGCATGCTTCATTTCCTCATGATTAGGGCTATGCATTAGAGCATTTGCATTGGCCTTGGTTTGGCCTCTTAGCCACTGAAATCCAGTGAATTTTAAGTGGCTTAGATGTGTTTTTGAGAGCTAAAATCAGAGGGGGGTGACCCCCCTCTTTCCTTGTCTTGTTTGTTGGCCTTTTTGGCCTTTCAAAGGACCCCCTATTTGCAAGCTTCCAAGCTTCATTTCCAGTATTTTTCAGTGGGTTTTAGGACCCCCATAACTCATTTTTAGAGTTGGTTTTTCTATGCTAAGTGTCTTTGATGCTTGTGTAGAGTAACCCCTTCTTGTGGCCTTTCAAAGGAACACACTATTCTTGCATGCATGGACCTCATTTCAGTGGGTTTGGGGGTTTATTTGACATGCCAAGTTACTATTTTTAGCTGGTTTGGTGACCTCTCTTGTGCTTCATATACATGTAGTGTAAACCATGCTTACTGGTCTAAGTTGCATGTTGTTTTAATCCTTCATGTTAGCACTCTTTGGCCATGCTTTAAACTAATGTTGTGCATATTTTGGGACTGCCTTGGCTCTGTTTTGCACTTCATGATCAAATAATGCTTGCTTTGCATGATTATAGTTCAATGCATTTGCCTAGTTTTGAGTTTCGAGGCCTCTTTTATGCATTGGGTGCCATATTTCCATGATTCGGGACCATTGCGCATCATATTTCAGTGCTGAAAATTGCATGTTTGTATGCCATCTTTCATCCCTTGCCATGCTTTGGTAGAGTGGCATTTGATGCCTTAGGTTCGGTCCTTGGTATTCGTGCATGTGTGCACGCATTTCAGTTGTCTCATTTTCATCTAATGGCCACTGATGTGAGTGTGGCTGAGGTCCACTCATGTTGGTGTAAGTCTATCATGCATTGTGTATGCCATTTTAGTCCATAGCCTTTACGTATGCTAAGTCGCATGTTAGAGCATTGTGTATGCCATGTTACATCACGTGCATTGTGTATGCCATCTTAATCCATAACATTGCATATGCTAGGTTACATGTTAGTCGTATTGTGTATGCCATCTCATTTGCATTATGTTTGGGATAGGAGTTAGCCCAAGCACAGGAAACGAAGGACGTTCCGTACTCTAAGTGACGAAACGTGTCTCAATTTCCAGTTGTCGACACTCCGAATTAACCATGATGGAGTCTAGGCCTTGTTGTGGTTATACGTGCATTCATTTCACATCGATTCGTGTAATTCGACTCCTCGGCCATCATGCATCGAGATGCGTGATTGGTGACACGAGGATCGAGGTCTACACTCCCTTGAGCTTGTGCAAGGACGGGGAGTGTGGTTGTGCACACATTTGTTAAAAATACCTTGCCATGTCTCTCTCTTGCTTTGTGTTACAGAAAACCAAGATCCAGGGGCAGAAAGTGGTCGGCCGACCAGGTTTTCTGGCAGGCCGACCACCTTTTTTGGTATCCACCACAAAGGGTGGTCGGCAGGTGTTTCCCAAGCCAATAGCTGGTCGGCAACATTCTTAGGGTGGAGTTTTAGCCTCTTGGAGCCTTGTGCAAATTTCTAAAATCAGTTGCAAACAAAGGCGAGACGAGACATCACGATGGAATTTCCCGATGAGGCGACTCGAGCATGCATCTTTCATCATTCGGAACAGAGCTGAGGCGGTCCATGAATTTGCATGCTAGTTTATTTGCTTTCCTAGTTAATTTGTTAATTAATTAGGGTTTTGTAATATTTAATCATTCATTCGGACTGTAATCATTTATTCGAACTGTATTATTTATTCGGACCCTCCGAGCGAGGGCACAATTGTAATAAGTGTGCGTGTGTGTGATGTATGTCTTCTAACCCCACGTCTTTCTCCCTTTTATTTACCAGCTTATGATGGTTAGTTTAGGGCATGTTTCAATTAGCATACTTATGATAGCATGTTTGCATTCATTCATCTGTTTTGCATACACCGGGCTCGGCGCATCATACTAACTGCATTGTATTTCAATTCCAAGTTGAATACGTGTATCAATTGTTGCATTTCATATGCCATCTTAGAATAGCCGAGCCTATCTTAGTTGCATTTTTGTATGTGTTGCATTAGGCATTTCAGAATAGTTAGGATTTATGCATGATTTCTAATTAGCTTCTTTCTTTGGCTTGGAGTACTCCGTAAGTGTTTATGCTTTAGCATCCTTGTATGTGTGTGAGTGACTGCCATAATAGCATGCTTACCATGAGGCTATGTGCTTATGTGACATACCTGGCTGAATGCCTGTGGGTGAAGGTTGGGTTGCTTAAGTTGGAATAATTCGTTGAAACCCGTGTTTTAGCCTACTTGCGAGTAGCAAACTTCAATCTATTTTCAAAACAAACGGATATGCGATGCTTTGTTCCAAATTAGGCAATCCAGTCTATACTTGTATGATGTGTGCATCACGTAGTAATTCTAGGCTAATAACCGGAATAAGAATGCATAATATTTTCAAAACTCGATATCATGGTTAGTAGAGGCCGATCTTTGATCGGGCGAGCGAGGGTGCTCACGAAGTGACCTTCCCCAATCGTACCCAGGTTCCCGAGCCGAGCCAACTTTGGTGATGACGGACACGTGGTCTTCGGCACGAGTCAGGGTTTCCTAAATTCCCCAAAAATAAAATATTTAGGTGGCGACTCTGTATCTGGCAAAGCAGTCCATGTTTGGCACTTCTTTCTAAAAATTTGTTTTCCAAAACGATTTGTCAGATTTGGACTCTTTGATGATTCATCGGTCTTGCATTGCACTCTGCGAGATTAGATACAGGACCGTGACTTTTGAGTCCGAACTGTAGTGAGCCCAAATGAACAAAACGGGGGGGATTTCCCTCCCGGGACGTTCGGGGACGTCTACACCTGCAATCATGGTATTTAGAATCTTAAAATTTACGGATCTATTCATCATACGATTTGATATGATTTTTAACCAAAATGATTTGATTTGTGTCGTTAAATCTTAAATTGAATGAATTGTATGATTCAATTGTGATTCACTGCGATTTAGTTTTGTTTACATAATGCATGGAACTATGTTGTTTTTGCAAAAATAAAAAAGTGGTCTATCAATTATTGATATACATGATTTTATAAACAAATTAATTTTACAAGAGGTCTCATATTTGATTTGGGCAAAAATAGAAATCTACAAATATAAACAAATTAAAATCCTAAAAGTAAGGGTTTTGCTTTTACGTTTAATTTTACAAGATAAGAAATTGTTTTAATAGGTGTCACGACCCAAATCTGCCCCTATTAGTTTAGTGTCGTAACCGGCCAGTAATCTGCGATTACCGAAGGCCTGATTGAACCAAGCAAGTAAACGGGGCTAGCGGAAACTATTATATGAAAAAAAAAAACAATACGTCCAATGAGCTGTGAATACACATAAGATAAAAGACATTGCTTTAGTTATATATACATTCTTGCATAAGTACATCTTGTTACCACAAGTTTGTCAAAAGACAGTAAAAAGAGAAAAGTCACTCCCATCGAAAACAAAAATAATGCCAGAGACAACCGATCAAAATACATGAGCGAGTTACAAAAGGGTGCACACTGGCTACCTCAAACTAGGACAAATGGGAACCTCGCAGTGAGGCACAAAAGTTAGCTTGACGAAAATCAAAGCAAGGTTGACGCCACTAAGTCCTTTCCTGAGCCGGGTCACCTACATAACATATCAAAATATGAGCTAGAGCCCAGTGAATAACAACTGAATAAAGAGATTCTGAACGTTAATTATAATGTAAAATAAAACACATACTGAGCAGATTCGTATGACATTTGAGAAGTATAACATATCACGTAGCTCATCTAAAAGCAAGAAACATAGGCTATCTAGAAGACCGAACAGATGCTCATGAAGACCAGACAGGCGGCCATGAAGACCAAAGATCAATTATGAAAGCCAACTCCATATTAAGCAGGAGTTCCATGAAGTGGAACTGACAGATCTACAGTCATTCAAATGGTGCCAGGGTTGCCACAGTAACAATGAAAACAGTGATAGAATTATCACTCTCAGAGTAATGCGTAAAGTCGAAGCAAAGAGAAGATAATTGAAATTAAACATATTTATATAACAGTGTTACTTATAGTCAGTCCCGTTTTACAGATGGCTGGAACGAGGCGTTTGACTTACATAAATAGATATAAGCGTTGTTCATTTATTTCTCCAAACATCCAACTAGTTAGTTTCATAACTTAGGATTTGATTGGTTTCAATGTAGTTCATTCTTGTTAAAAGCTCATGCAATACAAATGGGCATCAATTACGGGTGTGAAACATGCTAATGGAAGCCCGGGAGTGGAGTAAGTGACACATAAAAGTGAATCCGAGGCAGCCAAACAACCGCACGTGCAGAGCTCCTTGGCCGCACGTACGGGATCCTCTCCGCACGTGCATCCCCAAGTGCATTTTATGCAGAAAGTTTCCAATTCCTCCACTGATATCCGCACGTGCAGGCCTACCTGCCGCACGTGCACTAGTGTTTCCCGTACGTGCAGGCTTCCTAGCCGCACATGCAGTTCTGGGCATTCTAGAACCAAATTTTTGCTCTATTTTTGGGGTTCTAAATACCTCAAAACCAAGCCCAAGTCAATCAAAGTAAGGGCCAAAATTAACAAAGTGTACAACCAATTCCCATGTTTAATTTAAGAATAGAATCTCCATTTCAAATTCAAGTTCCACAATCTCACAAACAATTCAAAAATTAAGACTACCCAATTCCTCACTCACTCCTTAGATTCCATGAATTCAAAATGAAAATTAGTCTTAAGCAAGAAATTAGGAAGAATTTACCTTAATGTGTTAATTAATGAAGTTGCCTCAAATTCTTTCCTTCTTCTTCTTACTCACTTACTCAAGCTAAACTCTAGAACACTCTCTCACTCTTCCTCTCTCTCAGATTATATCTCCATCTTTTCCTTCTAATTGAGGCCATACATATACTTAAATACATCTCTAGTTAAATTTAGTTTAATTAAGTGAGAGCCTCCTCACCCATATTAACTAGTTATTTAATTAATTAAATTATAACTTGATCTAATTAAGGTGTGACAACTTACCCACTTAGTCCACTAACCAATTTAATAACTCTACGATTTAACGAATCAGACAGGTCTTTTCATAAAGGAACATATCTGTTAACAAACATAAGGCACATAATTAAGAATATAAGGCATAGATAAATGCATAATTCATATTATTCATAAGAGTGACAGCTAAGAAAAAGGCGAGTGTTACAGTAGGAGTTTGCACGGCATGTATTAGCATGCCATGTAAAATAGGTATAAACATATGAATAATATTTAAATTCAATCTGAATATGGAAAAAAAATTATATTTTAGAAAAGTTAGATATAGAAAATTTAGGGTAATTATAAATACATTTTTTAATGATTTGTTTGAAATATAAATTATTTCTTTTTATTTATTTTATCTTTTGGGTTTGAACCTTTTTATTTGGCTTTAATAAAAGGTTCAAACATTATCCTGACCATTATTTACGGCATGCAAGTAAAGTTGTAAAAAATAATAAATTAAAGATTATATTGTTAAGGACCTAAAATGAAAGGGAATGTGGTGTAAGTTTTTAAATAATTTTTGAGACAAATTAATTTAGTTGTAAATACACAATTAACCCTTTTAGAGACCAAATATTTTTCACAACTAAAAAATCAGGGCTATAAAAACTCTCTCTTTAGGCCTAATTTTCCAAGTTCACTATCTTTTTTTCATCAGGTTTGCTCTCAAGATTCTCGATCTCACCCTCCTCTCCCCTCCTCTCCTCTCTTCTCTGGCAGCGATGGAACGGCTCTCCTCTTTGGCGGCGATCCAAGCCGGATGCGAGAGCTATAAGCCTAAATCCATGGTAGATCTATCATTTCTTTAAATGTTTTGCAAATTTGGTGCATCTCTCTCTCTCTCTCCCCGCCTAGATATATATATATATATATATAAATAGAAATCTCTAGATCTATGATTTTATGAGATCTATAAGCTTTAATCCATGGTAGATCTATCATCTTCTTCAAATATTCTGCAAATTTTTTTTTAAAGTACTTAAATATTTTTGACATCAATTGGTTACACCTGTGTAGATTTTTTGTGAGAATTCTCTCTTATCTTCATCTCATTTTTCTTTTTGATTCTCCATTCATTAGTTAGCAAACCATAATTGTTCCATTACTTCCTCTCTCCCTCTGGTTGATCTTATCCACTTGATTATATGTATGATAAATGCCTATGATATAGTTGTCATGTTTAGATAATGTGTCTGTGATGACAATCGTAGACCCTAAAAATAGTCAAAATGAGTGTTTTGCCTTTTTGAGCCAGTAATAAATTCAGCCGAGTAGTTTCTTGAAATACATTGATGCTCCTTTACATTTAGATGGAGAAAATATCTCTAGCTTCCTTCTTCTATCAATTAATGTATTTTGGAGTCCATGCTCTTGTTAACATACCTTCTTCATGTGAGAATTTTTTGAATTTCATGAGATCTCATTAGTAGTGGGAAGTATTATTACCCTGGCATTGCACAACATGACATTAACTTGTGCTATTATCCATAATGAAATACTCTGGTGGATGGATTAAAAAAAATCCCATAACACCTAACTGACACAGCCAGCTCATTCCCTAATATGCGTGAGGATGCATAGTCTACACAATATAATATAGAAAAATGATTTGCAAATAGAATTTTTGAACAAAAAGCACCACCAGAATAATGTGTCAACGGCAACATTGAAATAATAAGCCACTTTTATGAGGTTTTTGGTTTGAAATGAATGAATATTAATGTGACACATCATTTTGTATAAATTTTATGTATTTGTATATTAATAACAAGTAATGAATTCAAAGTTGTTTAGTAAGAAAATAAATAACAAACCCAAACACTACAACAAAACTGGGTTTTTACGCCTTCATATCAATGATATACAGTAAATGGAAGCCGTGGTTTCTCAATTTTACAACTTTCTTTTTTTGCAAGTCGCAAATAATTTTCCAACCACGATGTGTCTATTGCGTAGGTCGTAAATGTAAATAACGATGATTCTTTTACGGCTTGTAATGTTAGCCGTAAATAATAAAACTTTCTATGACGTGTATATGGCGTGCCGTTAATATATCAACTATACACGACATGCGTATACCAGCCATTAAAAATATTGAACATTTCACGATACATAAAAAACTAGTTGTTAAAAATTGCATTTTCCACGACTCACAAAAAGCCAATCGTTGAAAATATTGCACTTTCCACGACACACAATTGCTGTCGTGACACTACAAGAAATCAATGTTTTAGAGACTAATATTTACAGACCAAGTAAATTTAGTCTCCAAAAACAATTCTTTAGAGACAAATTTAAACTTTCTTACTTTTTCACTTGTATGCTTTGTATAATATTCACATAATTTTTTGAGACAAATTAATTTAGTTGTAAATACACAATTAACCCTTTTAGAGACCAAATATTTTCCACAATTAAAAAATAAGGGCTATAAAAACTCTCTCTTTAGGCCTAATTTTCCGAGTCCACCATCTTTTTTTCATCGGGTTTGCTCTCAAGATTCTCGATCTCACCCTCCTCTCCTCTCCTCTCCTCTCTTCTCTGGCAGCAATGGAACGCCTCTCCTCTTTGGCGGCGATCCAAGCCGGATGCGAGATCTATAAGCCTGAATCCATGGTAGATCTATCATTTTCTTTAAATGTTTTGCAAATTTGGTGCATCTCTCTCTCTCTCCCCCCACCTATATATATACATAGAAATCTCTAGATCTATGATTTTATGAGATCTATAAGCTTTAATCCATGGTAAATCTATCATCTTCTTCAAATATTCTGCAACAAGGTGTTTCTCTTTTGTCAAACCAAGTCAGATTCACTTCTCTTCCGAGTTCTCTCTCACCTGGTATCGAAAACCCTAGGTTAGTACTCTCTAAACTGTTAAAATTATTGATTTTCTCATATTTGTATTTATATGTCAAGTTCCTGATATTAGTTTCTGGAAGTTTGTTTTTTGATTCATTGTGTGTTAGGGTTTATATCTTTGAAATTTTTGAAGTTAAAAATTTTGATTCATTGTGTGCTAGGGTTTTTTTGAACTAATTAGGGCAAAGCATGTGTTTAATTTGTTCTTTTATTTATTTTTATTTATTTTTTAAATCCAGAACATAGGAATAGGGGCTTCAAGTGTTGCAGGAGGTTTGGCTTACCACATGGTTATTCAAAGAGACCACAACACTCTATACCATAAAGTGACATTTTCATGGTAAAGATTGTTTCTTGGCCTTGATTATCATCCTCAAGCAAGTCTTCACAATGATTAGTAAATGACTAATATTGTGACTTTGAAAATTGAACCATAGCCAATCCCACATTTATATCAAAGAAAACCAAAGCTTATGACTGAGGCAAAACAAATTCTAAATAAGGAAAACTACGATCAAGAGACCTATTTCTAAACAACTATGCTATCTAAATTGTTTTTTTTTTCTTTCTTTTTGTTCTGTCTTTTTCTTTGGTCTCTATGTATGTGTATCTTGTGTGCTTGTACCCACACACAGATTAGACTAGTGTAAAATTCTTATTCATAAACTCAAAAACTTCTTGGGAACTCCATTAATTCCAAGCTATCTTCAGAAGATAAGCATCTTTTCCATGTCAAAAATACCATCATTAGGTGTCAGTAGCTAAGCTCACTAAGCCAACAACCCAATTCAATAACCCAATATGTGGAAAGAGAGAGACATTGAGGGTGCCATTACATAAGCTAGTGGGAAACTTTTCTGCTTCCCAAGCAATATAGGACTCTCACTGAGTGGAGCACCAAAAAAGAAAGTCTCATATAGTAAGATAATTATAAACTTGTTTATAAGTGAAAGTCTGGCTTTGTTTTCACGAGTAGGATTGTTGAAGTCTCAAATTTGTTCAGTTTTTAAGTTCATTCCCAATCCTGGCTTAAACCTGAGGAAGTTGGTTGACCAATATTCTGAGCCAGGATGAACTATGGAAACAAAGAACCAAATCACACCAATCCAATTTGTAACTCATTTTATCAATATATTATTTTTTAGTTGCTCAACATTTTCTCACAAAGCATCACTAGCCTTAAAATATATGTGCATGCACTAAAAGCATTTCTTAATTCTACAGATTACATATCATTTTAACTAAAGAATTTAATCATAACTCAAATTTAACTAGCACTTCAATCCTTTCAAAAAAATAATAATAAAAATAAATAAATAAATGAATAAAGTAGTTATTCTATCTAAAAAACTGATTCATCAAGACTTGGTGTAAACATATAAGCACATACTCTAAACTATAAAATAAAAATGCCAAACCACATAATATCAGTATATTAAGGAATCAAGAAGCATAAAAGTGAAATTGATTAATTTGGTATAATTGTAGTCAGTTCATCATATGTGCAAATAGGACAAAATATAACTCATTAAGCCTATCTACCATAATGCATCCAAACATATTAGAAGAAATTGCCAAGTCAAAACAAATCAAGAAAAAAAGTTATTTTAACAGCAATGGCACTCACCCATTCACCAAGGCAAAGGGACCAGTAATATTTGGCAAATCTTTGACATTCACTAGACTCTTCTCCTTTTGCTGCTAAGCACCTGTAGTTTTTGATTGAAGAATAAAAAAATCAAAAAAAAAAAGAGGCAATTACTTAGTTCTACAATAAGTTGGTAAGATGTTTAAAACTCTTCATATAGAGCCTATTCATTCATGAATGCCTCAAAATGATACAATACTAAAAAAGTGTGCCTGTGAAACTCAATGTATCGAGTGAAACAATGTCTAGTCTAATTGGTTGTAGGAAATCAAAAATCAGCTGGTGCAGTCTTCAGTTCAATCTGAAAGGCAACATAAAGAAGTTGATATCAGTAAAAAAGAAAACCAAAAAAGAAAAAAAAAACACCAATTAAGCTCCATACTAGGACCAACCACTCAAACATAGGATTACATATGTTCAACCACCACATAACAGGGGCTATAGGGGTGTTGAACAAATGAGAGACCCATTTTGAATAGTATAACAACCACCAATGGGAACCAAAAGGAAAGAACAAAACAGGTTGAGAACAAAAACACAATATAGTCCTCAGCCACTCAACCCACACTCTCAACTCGAACATAAAACACTCAACAAAATATATACTTATATTTATCTCAACCCACCAAACGAAAAATTCCCTCACAATATGTACCAGCTTGCCAATCTACACAACAAAAATTAGAAAATATATATATATATATATGCTCAACATCACTCAACCCACAAGTCTCACCAGCTCCACACAAGTATGACTACCTAGCAATATCTGGCTTACATCACTCAACACACTTTCCCTAAAGAAAGACTAGTTGTACAGCTTGCAAACAAAACAGTTAGTATAAACAGCCTCACAACATTCACATATAAGGAACCTAGCATATAGATGTGATAACCTTGTTCCGTATTATGCTAATTAGTTTTAATTATGATTGTGATTATGTATTTAATGTGATTTTAAATTTCTATCTGTTCACCGTATGAAATCTGTTCAACTTATTGTTAGAAACTGAAAATTGAAGGCCTTATCGGCCACAGAAGCTGAAATTGATTACGCCGTCGTGATTAGCGTAATTTTTAGAGCCTATGGTGAAATTTAATTAGAAATTGATTTGGATCAAAATAATTAGATTCAGAACGATTAATTGAGCTCAATTACTTAGCCTTAATCAAATTTGATTAGGCAAACATATAAAAAGGGCCATATTACACTTAACTTCACTCCTCTTAGACTCAAAATCTGAAAATCACTCTAGAGAAAGAGAGGGCCGGTTTTAGAGAGAGGAAGAGGGAAAATTGTGCATTTTGGCTCAAAGTTTGTGGATTTGGAAGACTATCTCAAGAATCAACTATACTTAGCAAGATTGGAGCTCATAGGTGAGTAATTAAGCATAAATTCATAAGTTTGAGTTTGTAATTTTGTGGATTCAAGATTAAATGGCAATCAAGAACATGAATTGAATTGATGTTGATGAAATTGAAGTCTATATGCACATGCATGTAAGAAATTGCCATGGATTTACGTATTTAAGCATGAAACTTGTAGCTCATGTTGATTTGTGAGTCATATACTACATGCATGTAAGAGTTTCCATGGTATGGAACTCAATTTAAAAGATTCATGTTACAATTAGAAGTTGATTGTGAAAACATGAAGAATATCACACCAAATCACACATGCAAGCATAGTTTTGTTGAGTTTCTTGATTTTAAGCATCATTGGTGCCATTTGAAATGGAATTGGAGTAAAAAATTTACATGCATGCTTGATTGATGAAGATATGGGGTTTGTATAAAGTTGAATATATGTGTTTTGAAACCCATGAAGAGAACTCAAAATGATTTTGGAAAAAGGACCATGATTTTGAACAAATTGGTCTCATATTCTTACATTCTCATATTGTACAATGTGTTTCTATGTTTTTAAACCAAAATCATGGGTTTAGGGCCTTTGAATATCAAGTTTGAACCTCAAGAATAGTTCTAAAAAACCCAGAATTCGGCATGCCCGCTCGAGCGGGAGAACTGCTGCTCGAGTGTGAAATGTTAGTAACCAGTACTTTTACAGACATGGACGTCCGCTCGAGCGGGGAGAATCACGCTCGAGCGTCCAATCACATGTTTGACCTTCAGCTCGAGCATCCTAAGTCGCGCTCGAGCGTGAATATGGGGCAACCAGTACTTTTGCAGACCGTGGGGATCCGCTCGAGCGGAAAGCTTTGTTTCAGAAATTTTGTAAAGATGTTATGTGTTCTGTTTTCCGTTCTCTTTCATTTCTAAGCACTCTTAGGCATGCATTGAGCCTTGTGAATGTATTAAAAGATAAGAAAGAGGCCTAAGAGGAGAGAATAAATTAAGAACGGATTGAATTGCTTGTGACCCATTATGTGCTATGGTTTATATAGGGTCGAGCACAAGGACAAATCCACCGGCAGAACACTGTGAGTAATATCATAGTAAAAATATTTTGAAGTATGCTATTTGTCCAATTGCTTACTCTTATTTGAGTTTATGAGATTGTTAGTTTGAATTGTGGACAAACATACGTTCGACATGAATGATTGGGCCAAAGGCCGTTCGACATGAATGATTGGGCCAAAGGCCGTTCGACATGAACGATTGGGCCAAAGGCCATTTGACACGAATGATTGGGCCAAAGGCCGTTAGACATGAATGATTGGGCCAAAGGCCGTTGGACATGAATGAATTAGGCCCGAGGCCGTTTGATATGTCTAGATCTGTAGTCGCCTGATGTACGAGCTAGAAACAGGAATTGGGCTTAAGGCCGTCCGATGTATCTGTTTTAAATTACACTCAGGTATCTTCTTAATTTGATATTATTCACTGGGCTTTTGCTCACTCTCATTCATGTGTCTGTAGGTGAGCCAAGAGACGCACAAACCCAGCCCCAGTGAAGTATATGAGGAACAGTCAAAGTTTTGAGAAGTCAGCCCACATGTCTCACGCATGAGACTAGTTTTCGCCCTTTTGTTCCTTTGTTAAATTTTTGCTATGTTGGTGAAAACTTTGGATCACCTTTGTATATATATGCTTTTGGTTTGGCTGACTATGACTTGAATGATCTTGTTGTATAAAGCTTATATGTTAACTTCCTTTGATGTAGGTTATTAACGAATATATATGAAATGTTATGACGTGTCATGTAAGCACAGCTCTATGGACAAAAGTTTTAAGTTTGCTTTCGTTTTGGCCCCTTAACTCTGTTGTAATATATCCAATGTGGTTTGAGGCCGTAGGTAGTCTCTTGATTACTGGCCGATTATGACCTTAATCCATGGGGGCGGGTTCGGGTCATGACAATAGATCTCACAGTCACTGAACCCACAACATCTCTAAATATGTACCAGCAAGACCGGCACGAAATGATTAGGGGCAATGAAGGGCACAACTTCATACAAAGGACCTTGAGTCCAAGAAGACCTGCAATACACTACCTATCCTTACCAGACAATAAAACATTTTTTCTACTACTAGTCAAGACAGGACTAACCTTCCAAAGCAACTCAGAAGAAGTAAAGGAACTGCTAACCAGGAATTAAGAATTCTAACACCTCTACTCTGTAACTCCTTTCCCAGATTGTAATAGTATTAGATTTCAACAAATGGAAAATAATACAGCTCAATCAAAAAATTCAAAACACAGCTCACAAAGTATATCACTCTAGAATGTGTCTCATAAGGAAATTTCTAGATATACCCTGAAGATAAAACAGAGTCACTCTGCTTTGCATTTTTCTTTTTCTACTTTATCTTTTAGCATGGTATTTTTCTTTTCTTTAACTTTTTTTTTTTTTTGGGTGGTGTCAAGAAACGAACAAACTGGCATCCCACTTTTTCTAGGTTGACACATAATATTCTATTTAGCAAGCATAACACTTATAGGATGAAAGATAGGAATCACATAAAGATGAAACATGAAGATGTACACTTTAGCTTCTAAGGATAGGAAGTCACATAAGAATAGTCATACCACATAAATTTATAATCAATGCACATGTGCCTAACCAAAGGATAGGAAGTCACATAAGAATAGTCATACCACATAAATTTATAATCAATGCACATGTGCCTAACCAAATCATATGCATCAAAGTCCCCATACAGTTGATCTACAATAGCATAAAGAGGCAGTTCCCATCCTCCAGCGTTCGTTTGACTTCTAATCCTTGTGCTCTTCTTATATCAATCTCAAATTGGCATTCTCTCTCCTAAAACAAAAGCAATCAGCCAATTTTATAATACTAATTTGATGAAAACCATGGACTTAGTAAATGAGTAAGATGAGTTAGGATAGAAAGTCCAATCATAAATTAGAAATAAAACATCAAATGCATTAGAAAGTTAAAAAGCTTTATTTACCGATGATGCTTAGATACAACAGGCAAGCAAAACATTTTTGTAATCTTATCATGACTTGTAAAATTCATTGAATCATTTTTTTTTTAAAGGATACTTGAATTTCATATGCAATTGATATGCCATATTTAAATGTTCAACTGGAGAAGGATAACTCAAGTCTACAATATTAGTAATTAAGGAACATCTGCTTACTGAAGTAACTGATTGAAAAAAGTAGTTACAATTCAAGAAAATATAGATTGAAAAATGGCAACCAAAAAAAAAAAGAAGAAGAAGAAGAAGAATAAAAGATTTTAGCTCATATGGTAATGAGCAATTGCATTTAGTACAACAATCTTGACATAAACCATAGTAAGGAAAGAAAAGCCTTTACATATCACCATGTTGATTGCTAAGTGCATGAATATCAATAACCAACAGGGGCTTGTGGACGAACAATTTACTTGTAAATAAATTAAAAATAGAAATGAAAAGAGAAAAGAGAAAAACATAACAGATCTTACTATATCACCATAGGAGGATCCAAATGAAGGGTTCTGTTCATCAGAGCTATTGTAACCTTCACTTTCACAACAAGACTTGGGTGAAGAAGGCCTATAGGGTTACTAATATTCAAGGCATTACTAATATTAGGTGGAAGGTAATAGTAATAGTAATGGAAAGAGATTAATCATCACGGAAATAGGTAAGAGGTAATAGATCATTGTTAACTTTGGCACCACACTAATATCAACAAAATTATATAGATGTACATTGCGCACACGCACAGTCTATAGCAACCATGGTTTTCCCTCCATTGATTTGTGTGATCTGGACTTGGTTCCGTGGATGTTGGTTGTTGTATATATCTTGTTTCCGTCCTTCAATACTTTGTATTTGAGTTATAGGATGTTTTGGGTAGATTTGTTACAGGTTGGTGTGATTGGGAGTAAATGGTTGCTGCCCAGAATTTTGGTTCTTCGCTCGAGCGAGGCTTTTGTCGCTCGAGCGAACTCTGTGTTTTAGATCCTTCGCTCAAGCTAGGGTTCCTTCGCTCGAGCGAGAGTTGAGTTTTGTATCTGGTGGCTCGAGCGAGAAGTCCTTCGCTCGAGCTTGCATCTACGTCTGGTTCTGGACCTGAGAGTTACATTTCTTGGCTCGAGCGAGCTTTCCTTCGCTCGAGCAAGCAAGTTGTATGTTTTGGGTTTCTTCGCTCAAGCGTGCTTCTGGGTTGCATACCTGAAGCTTTGAATTGTTGGCCTGAGCGAGGCTTTCTACACTCGAGCGAGGGTTCCTTGTGTTTGGTCACTCGAGCGACCAATCTTTCGCTCGAGCGAGCCTGTGTTATATCAGTAGGCAGCAGCGGGTAAACACTTCACCTTTTCATCCCTTTTGTTTTGCAAACCCTAGATCCGATCTCTCTCTCTCTCTCTCTACACACTTTCTCTCTAAGGATTCATCTAGTTTTAGTGTGTTTCTACCCTAAGTCCTTTGTAAGAAAGATAGAGAGTGGCTTGGGCGTCGTTTTAATCTGAAAAGTTGTGGATTTGGAGTATTTCGGGTGTTCACCATCTTCTCCTCTGGGCTTCTAATTTCGAGGTAGGGATACCCTACTCCATCTTATGAGTTTTGTCATAAATTTTGGGCATTTTGATATGTTGGGGTTGTTGGGTAATTTTTGAAAAAGTTAGGGTTTGATTTGTAATTTATAGAAAATGGGGTTTTCAAAATGTTAAATCCTATGGGTGTTTGAGACCAACAAAAATGGAATTAATGTTGTTGTATTGTTGAATTTGAACCTTTGGGTTGAGATATGATAAAGGGGGAAGAATGTCCTAATTATGAAATAAATTAATTTGTATAATTAATTTTGGGAAAATGTGAAAATATGGAATTGAGTTGAGAATAATGAAATTGGGAAATTATGGGATTGAATGGTGTAGTTGAATAAATTAACCACTCACCTATGGAGTAAGTTGATATTATATCTATTTAATGCATTTATTTTCAATTTAGAAATAACTGTTTTGGGCTATCGGTGGAGGATAGTATTGACTGTTGTAGACACTGTATGTTGATTAGGAAAAACTGAAACTAATCACATTGAATATGTCATTGAATATGACGGTTGAAATAATACATCAAATATGTGTATTGAGTGATCCCTATATATGATAATTGTTTATATACTTGGAATATGTGTATTGTGTGGGAGGAAATAGGGGATCTACTCCATGGTTTGAGGGAAGATAAGGGATGGACTTCATTAATACAGCAAATATGTGTATTAAATTGAAGTATTGATACAGCAAATATGTGTATCTATTGTGAAGTATGGAAGTGTTTTAATATGATATTGATACAGCAAATATGTGTATCTATTGTGAAATATGAAAGTGTTAGTATATGTATTATAGTCTCATTGAATTATTTGGCCAGGTTCTGAGCCATGTATATGAAATAATTCGGATAAGTAAAGGAAAATGGAATGTAACATGGACACAAGTGTCATGGAACTGTATTGTGATATAACTGGTTTATAAGTGTTAACCATCTATCAAATGTTATTGTTTTAGTAATTATTTATATTTGGTTTAGTATATCTTTACTGGGCTGTGGCTCACCCTTTATGGGACATCATTTTCAGGTCCAAATGATATGCCACCTCCAAGGACATAGCTTGGGAGGTTCTAGGAGTTGAAGACTCTTTGTTATTTTGTTATCTTTTGTTGTATTACATGTACATTCAAGCCAAGGGCTTTATATGATGTGAGTTAGTACTCTCTTTTGTGTAACCAAGTGTTGGCTTAGAAAGTTGTAAACCGTTGGGTATTTACTTTTGTTGTCAACATGTAATACATTTGTAAGGAATACTCTGATGAATGGAATTAAGTTTTGTTTACTTATGTCTATGCATGTCTATAATGTGGGTTTCTAAGTATTATTTTGAGGGCGTTACAATTTGGTATCAGAGCGTACCGGGTTCGAATACTTTGGGTACGTGGGAAGTGGTTAGTACCACAATGGGTTTGTCTTGCTTGTTAGAGACGTAGGTATAATGTTATGTGCTTATGTGATAATATGTTTATGTGACTATATGGGTATGGAATGTAGTTTCTAGGATGTTGATTGTATCCTTGGGTTTCTGGGAGTCTTGTTGGAAAAGCACTTGATCAATGCTGTTTCTAACTGGAACTCTAGCAACGCCTCAGGACTGTCATTATCTGGAAATGAAATTCGTAAGTGCTTATGTGATTATGTGCTTACGTGGAGTGAATTACTGTTGTCCATTGAATTAGGACGCAAGTGTTATAGCTTCGGCACATTTGTGAATGTGCTAATGTTCTTCGTTACCTTTATTAGGATGTCAGGACGTGGACGTGGTGGTAGGCGAGGTAGGCCTGGGAGGCAGGAGGTTCCTATACCGGATGAGATTCTGGCACAACAGGAGGGTGTTGGCCAGGCCAATGTGGCCGAGCCAGTAGGTTAGCAGGCCATGGGCGCCTTAGCCCGCGAGATAGCAAGAGCTTTGAGGGAATCCATGGGCATTCTCAGAGCTGAGAATCCAATTCAGGCCCAGGTTGTTGATGCAAGGCCTTCCTTTCTGAAGAGGGAGTTTTTCCGGTCTAATCCGGATGAGTTTTTGGGGATCTGAAAAAGCCACTTAAGGCTGATGAGTGATTGGAGCAAATGACGAAGACATTTGAGATGCTTGGCATCGAAAACGGGGTGTTGAAGGTGACCTTGGCATCTTTCCAGCTAAAGGGGGATGCGGGTCAGTGGTGGAAGTTCATGAGGGGTCGTATTTGTGGCACTTGGGAGGCCTTTGTAGATGCTTTCTAG